GGCGTGGCAATTTGGCTGACTTAGTCTATACGGGCAGAAGGCAAGCAAAACCCATTGGTGGATTCTCCATCGTATGCTGAGAAAAGGCGTTCAGGTAAGACAACGCCCTTTCAGAAAGCCAGAAATGAATACGAACAATAATTATTTGATGGATGTTAGATTTTTATTTTTAAATCTCCATTATAAGTACGTGGACTAACCAACAGGCTTTTCATGTATAAAGAAGGAAACAAATGAACATAATGTGATTTTATTACGATGAACAATTTAGAGAATTAGTAAAGGATAGACAGGTACTAAGAGGTTCCAAATTTAGGAAATCCATTATTTGATGGCAGCAAGCATAGAGTGACTATTAGACAAGAAGTTCTATTTAAAAAAGAAATTAGAAGATTCATCACTCAATTGAATGAAAGAAAATGGACATCAGGAAAGAGAATGTAAAAGCTGCTTAGAACAGAGTGAGCAAATACATACGTCCACAGAAGTGGAACTACTTTGCTAATTGTGGAACTCTACATTTGCATATGTAGAGTTATGCAAATAAGAATTATGAAAAAAATGCTTCATGGAAAAATGAGATGAAGGAGGCAAAGAAAAATGACCATTGGAAAATAAGAATCAAAGTTAATGTATAATAAGCATATAGAGAAAAGGAGTTGTAAAGTAGGTATTAAGAGGTCAGAAACATGAATTAAAAGAAAGTGCAAAGCAGTTTTAATGAAAATGAGTGTTTGAGTAAGGGACGTAACATTTATTTTTGTGGGATTGTGGGGGTTACTCTGTAAATCCCCAAAAAGGCACAGCCTTTTAAAAAGTGTATTACACTTCTATTTCTAAAGATCCAAACAGCTGCATGTCTGTACAGGTGACCTTTGACCTATGAACTGGCTATTCCAAGTTAAGACAACAATGAATGAATGATGGGTTACAACTGGTCCTCAGAATTCCAGCTGTACCAGCATCCTAATGATCATGTGATTACTATTTGCACTTACAACTGGTTTCCAAATATCCCACAATCATGTGATCGCCATTTGGTAACCCTGCCAACTTCCCCAGAAAGTCAAGAGGGAAATTGGTAGGGAAGGTCACTGAGGTATGTCTCCCACTCATGCACCCTCCCCATCCCCTGTGCACTCACTCTGCGTAAGTCACTCATGCATTCCCATGCACACTCCCCAATACGCACTGCGTCACTGTACACCCCAAGCCATATGGCGTCTCTTGTGTACCTTCTCAAACCACATACCTCCAACCCCACACACTTCTTGATGTACCATGTTTCCTCGAAAGTTAGACCCAGCCCAATAGTAAGCCTTAGCTTGATTTTTGGGGGTGGGCCTAATATAAGGTCTACTCCTAGTTTTGGGGTGATGGGCACCCCTAAAAATCAAGCTAGGATGGAGGTAAGCGGGGTGAAGCTGCCTCGTGTGCCCCGCGCCCGCTTATTTTACCAGTAGGATCACCATAGCCAGGCCTCCCACACCCCGACACCTGTCATGCCGCTACTTGACTATTTCTGCGTCTGCTTGCAGCCACTTGTCGCCGGATGCCATGTGGCACATTGTGTCATTGCCACTCCTCCCGGCAGGACGCCATATGGCACTTCGGGCCACTTCTGCTGCTTGTGCCACGCTTTGGGCTGCTTCTCTTGCGGCAGGAAGCCACCTGGGACTTCAAGCTGTTTCCGCTGCAGAAATGGCCCAAAGAGCCATGCAGCATCCTTCCGGGAGGAGCGGCAACGGTGCAATGCGCCACATGGTGTCCGGCAGCAAGTGGCCACAGAAGAGGTCAAGCAGCGGCGCGAGAGGTGTCGAGGTGTGGGAGGCCTGGCCGTGTTGCTCCTAAGGTAAGACATTCTCCAAAATTAAGACCTAGTGCCTCTTTTGGAGGCAAAAAAAATATATATATATAAGACCAGGTCTTATGGCACCTCTCATACTTCCTTCCCTTTCCCTCTTCCACCCAGCAGCATCAGCCTATTGCTTATGGGCTTGAGACATGCAATTTCCTGCCGGCTTGCCCACTCGCCCACTTTGGTTGTGGGAAGCTGGAGGAATTTGCCACCCCTATTGAATGTGGATTTCAAGTAATAGTAACTGGGATTTTAGCAGTTGCTGTCATTAAGCATTGCACTGTACAGCCGCATTGCTTAGCAACAGAAATTCCTGTCTCAATTGTTGTTAGTTGAGAACTACCTGTACAATAAGAGTGTTTATATGAAGAAGCTCTGCATTTGAATTCTGCTAAATCTCAGTTCTTAGTTAGATTATGTCAGAATTAGGATTTATATATAGCCCAGTGTCTCATTTCTCTCAGTGTCTTTGGGAAGTTGACAAGAAGCACCTAGGAAAGCAAGTGGTTATTTTACAGCATTTACTACAACAGGATAATAACCACTTAGTTCATGGCTTTAAGAGGGCAGATTTCTACTAGTAGTTATCAGTACATAATGGCATTTACTGCAACATTAAAGGTCAGTGTGCCATTGAATAATAGAGAGAAACCTGAGGGAAAGTGCTGTTATATTAATATTCTGCTTGTGAATTTAAAATATTGTGTATATTCACATAAGCCCATTTATGTATAAACTGATCCTTGATTTTTAACAAAAAAAGTCATAAAAATGTCATCCATGGAAAAGTTTTGTATTTAATTTTCACAATTGGTTTATCCATGGGTGGCAAATTTTTCATGGTAAAAATTTGAGGGATTGCTTATTCATGGATGGAATTAACTATGAGTATAGGATATATGGCTAATTTTAAAACATATATACTCATAAATAACCCCAGCTGTGAAAAAGCCTAGTCCAAATTTTGGATGTATTTTGTTACCTAAAATTCTCAGATTATCCCTCTTATACTCTTTTATAGGGGCATCTTCTGTCTTCTCATTTATGTAGAAGTAGGAAGAAAATTTGTGTTATCTCCAGTTTTCCAGATTATTGGATTCACAGTTAATCATTCTTCTTTATTTGTAAGATTAATGGGAGATAGAATCAAGCTACATTTGAAAACCATAGTTATAATACATCAATAAGAATTAATACATGAGTGATATTAAAAATATATTTTAACATCTTGGTATTTGCCATGTTAAATGCAGATGTTTATTCATTTTACCAAGGGGGAAAAAAGAAGAAAATAATGTGAGTATAATTTTTGCCCTAAGATGTTGTGGAGTAAAATTGCAACTGAATCAGTAATTATAACTTATCGCGATGCTATCCAGAATCAGTAAATATAAAACGCAGTTGTAAACAAGTAAATATATTTGAACTAGATAGAGATTAATGCATTAAATGTGTATGGCAGTTCACTTTGGGAAAAAAAAGTATAAAATTATATCCTTGAATGTTCTAATGAAAATAATTTTAAAAAACGGAAAATTTGCAGGGTTTTAAAATTAGACTGTCTTAGGTAGCGTACACAACATGTATTTTGATAGAATTGTGTGTGTGTATCTCTTTATCTCATGGTGGCAAAGGGGAGTTGGAAGTAGATATAAGACAGGCAACCATGGCTCCTGTTGCTAGGAAGCCTTTTACATAGAACATTTTATGGCATGTTTTTATTTAGTTAGTATCTACACAGCTTAGTTGCTACACGATAAATAAGGACAATTATATACTCAAAAATATTTGCAGACAGTTAGATTACAGAGATTTATTTATTCAACAGCATTTTTAGAGGCTGCACTGTTTTTACAGGACTAAACCCTGAATTTGAGTCCAATAGAGCTTGTATCTTGAGAAAAGCATTCAGTACGCAAAGTAATAATTTCAACATAATATTAGTATTGCTCAGTTCTATGGAGGAAAAACCATACTAGTAATTTGTTTATATTTTCAAGAATATTCCAGTCGTTTCTGAATTTCTTTAATAGTGAATTTGGGGAGCTGGCTAGTCCTTGACTTGCAGTCACAATTTTGCCCAGAATTTCCATTGTCACTTGGTGCAGTTTAAAGCAAGTCATCATTAGACTAGACTAGACCCAATTTTATTTTTTACCATGGTTTTTAGGGTGATCACTACAGCCATTAAATAAAACATCAAGATCCTTAAGTGAATCTAGCTTCCCCAATTGACTTTTCTTGTTAAAACTGGCTTGGAAAATGGCAAATTATAGTCAGATGATTGCAAGATACTGAAGTCTTTATAAATGCAAATCAGCTGCCAGGCACCCAGATTTGATCACATGACTGTGGAGGTGGTACAAGAGTTGAAAGTTCAAAGACGGGTCATCAGTCACTTTTTCCAAGGCCATCATAACTTTAAAATATCATTAAACAGTTGCAAATTGTATATATAGTGTCTCTCATATACTTATAGGTTCAAGGCAGAAATACAGTGTTTATTTAGTTATTGTTCACATTTTTAAGCCACTCATTTCCCTTATAGCTCCTTATATCTGGGTTTATAAATCTTACTGAGAAATAGCAGGTATGGTGAGACTAGGTACATATTATTTTTTTTCCTGGATCAAATCAGCATGTATTGCTTTATAATATTATCTTGCCTCATATCAGGAGCATAATGTAATGAGTAACACATCAGGAACTCGATGTATTACTGAGTCTTGTAATATTGTTCCATTTAAAATTGAAATATTTACTATCATTTTTTTTTACTAGAAAGCATGATTAGAATTATGAAGTAAGTTAGTGTTCCTTCTGCTCTGTTGCACACAAACATCGTTGTGGATCTGACACTGTTTATCTAACAGTGCACTCAATACTGCTTGAGTAGGGGAAATTGCACAAAACAAGTCCAGTGCATCAGCATTTTCATTGTATACCGAGCTGAGTCTCTTCATATGGTCACATCCCCTTTTTAATCCTGGTCCTCATGTTTCTTTCCCAGTCCAGCCTGTTTTTGTGGTGTCTGTTGCTGGTCTCTCTGAGCTTATGTTCTTGTGGTTTGAATGTTTTTCTATGTGGCTCAGTGTGTTAAGACCTGCAGAACTTAAGTGGTGGTATTCAATTGGTTCGACAGGACAGTGATCTAGCATTAGTGGTTTGTGGTAAGCAGAGAAGTGATGGCTGCTTTTAAGTTGGATTTCCTCCCAGAAATGATGGTGGATCATTGCTCCTTGAATGCCAGCCCGATGTAAGTATTTTGTTTTCAAAGTCATCTACCTTGATACTGATTGCTTTGAGTTTGTTATTTTGAAGGGTTTGGGGGTGGGAAATTTGCTCAATGAGTTAAAAAAAAAAAAGCAAATACATGTATTTAGATTATAAAAATAGAGCCTGAAATATATTTAGTTAGATTGATATTGGGCAAAATAGCCAATTGTTCCATAGTGGGCTAATTCTAGGGAGGTACATTTTATTTGAAAATATACAGCTAATAGTAATAAAGCTGTATATTGGCATGTCATTCTAATCTAGGAAGTAATGCCCTAAATATATGTAAATCTCTATAGCTTGATATTTAGCACATTAAATATGCAATTTAATGTACTATATTTCTTCATAATTTATTATATTTTAAATTCAAAATGTTGTAAAATTAATTTACTATGGGTAATATAGTTATCAAAGCATTTCAGTTATCTATGATTTATTATTGAAGTATTCACTACATTGGAATAAATTGGCTTCAGGTAAGTGTGCAAAGTATGTTGACTTATTTTTCTTCAGATAAACTCTCAGTATGCTTTATGTAAAGTACATTAGGGTCCCTCAATCTTTATCAGTATATAATAACTTCTCTGAACTAGTAGTTTGACATGGTTGTGTGTGTCCATAGAGCTTTACAGAATATAAGAGATCAAGTCCCTTCCTCAAATATCTTGAGGAATCTTAATTCAGTGAAAGAAAACCTGGGAAGGGGAAGAAGAATTGGAATTATATAGGAAATAATGCTTTACTTCAGTTGAAAATATTTAGAATGAATCACACCAGATATGGAAATGTGTCTATCCACTTATATGCTAAATAAATTGCCTATCAGATAGTAGTCAACGATTATAGATGTATTTAGTTTTACTTGGTAATGGTTTAAGGCATAAATTCTCAGGCATGCATTTTATTTATTTATTCAGCTTGTAGGGCCTCCCATATCAAACAAATGACTCTGAGTGGTGAACAATCATAAAATCAATTAAAGCCAAATTACAAGCACAACACAAGATAAATACAGCTGCCAAGAAATTACAATCCATAGATGTTAACATAACCAGAAAATGGGACTCTTAACACACTCGGGGCCCCAGCACATAACTGGGTCTAAGATCTTACAAAAGGGTCAGGGCTATCCTAATCTCTGAAGGGAGAATGTTCCAGAGGGCATTTTTGTTAAGCTGTCAGTGTTAATTGTATGTACCACCATGATTCGCTGAAATACCTCGCTGATATTAAACTTTTATGTTCAATATCAAATGTAATTGCTTCTCCATTTGGTAGAGCTTATCCCATATTTTCATTTAAATAAGATGCATATTTATTTAAATATATCTCTTAAGCTTTGAATTAATTAAAAAGTAAATATTTTTCAGTTGAAAAATTTGAGGTTTAAAGTACAAGAACTCATAACAGTACATTAAATTTGTCCATTGAGTTTCACAAATTAGGCATAAGATGATAACAGCCATTAGACAACATATTGAAAGTAGCATTAAAATTATATTTCAAACCTCACTTGAATTATCCTTGTTTTTTACCCTGATGGTCAGTAAAGATGTAGAAATTGGCATTTCCCTGGAAATTATGCTGCATACTCCTTAGATAATTTTTTAAAAAAATGCCCCATATGCATATTCTACTTCAGTTCTAAACTTCAAATATGAAATATATACCTTAAAAGAGAAGGAAGATCATGTACGATATAGGAGGATTAAAGAAGAATACTTAAGTAATTTTTGCTCAGACTCTTAGCCTTTGCAGTCTTTTGTTACTTTTAAGGATTAATGTAAGGGAAATTGTTAGTTAAAATTATTCTCAAAATGCTTTTAAATAAATAAATAAATATAAATAAATAAAATTTAGCATACTTTATTCCTTTGAGGTGGCTATTTAAAGAAGTTATAAAAACCGGCTTGAGCCCCATAGCTGGATTAAGTCCTCTCTTTCTTGTAGACTGAAGGAGCAAAGAATATAAACACTACCCTTCTCATTCAGACACTTACTTCTAGAGCAGCTCCTTCCAGAAAAATAATATCTTTAGGAATGGTCTAAGATGGATGAAGCACCAAACAGCCATACTTGAAGGTATTTCTTGCTGTCACCCCTTACATCTTTGTATCTGACATGTCCTACCATATATATTTGAGAAAGAAAGCCTAGCAAGGTGGGAGCCATGAAGTAACACTACTCTGAAACATTCTCCCAGGTAGGCGTACAAGAGGCTCTAGATCAGAGATCCCCAATCTTTTGGGCACCAGGGACCGATTCGGTGGATAAAGGTTTTTCCGTGGACCAGAGGGCGTGTGGTTTTGTGTGCTGCCTGCATCCCGCAGATGGGGCTTTGCTTGTTTGTGCAGACTGGTTGCTGGCATGCCACGGCCCAGTACCGGTCCAGGGACTGGGGGTTGGGGACCCCTGCTCCAGATGAAGTTCTGCTAGCTAGATGGATGGCTTTGGTAGTTCACATTAATCCCATGAGGTGAAGGTTGGACTTCAGTAAGAGTGAGTACATATCGAAAGAATATCCAGTTAAAAAATAAATCTAAATTATTTCACTATTTTTTAGATGTAGAATATTGGGATTAACATCACAGTGGGATTCATATATAACATGATTTTCAGCTAAACCTGTTGAAGCACATAATAGAAATGGAACCTGAATTGAGAACTGTCAGAATTGAGAGCTGTCAAGAAAAAGGGAATGAATGTTGTATATCCAGTTCAAATTTTATTTTTGTCTCCAAGAAAAATAGGAGTTTTAAAAATGTCTTTTATTGATTGAAAAATATAAACGGATTAAGGAGACAGCTGTCATCAAAAGCTGTGCAACCCACAATGAGTACTTTATAGTATCCATGGCAGCTTAGCATCTTGCTACTAGCAGTATCTGAGGAAGAATCTATTTAGTAGAGTCTTATTATGATTGTCTTAAGGCAGGGTAGGCAACCTCGGCTCTTTTATGACTCGTGGACTTCAACTCCCAGAATTCCTGAGCCAGCCATGCTGAGGGGAAAGGGAGAGGTTTCCAAGCTGAGCCATGCTGACTCGGGAATTCTGGGAGTTGAAGTCCATGAGTCATAAAAGAGCTGAGGTTGCCTACCCCTGTCTTAAGGCAATTGTTACTTAAAGTACATCCATTTTTATCATTTCTACCAATTACAAAGTTGATGAATTAAAAATGGGTGGTTTACATTTTTACAAAGATTCCTTTGTAATTCAATTCCCATATCAAATGTATGTGCCTGCATTCTACCCCTCAAACTTTTTTACTTACTTCTCCAAAAGGAGAAAATCACATAGACTTAGTCATTCAGTGTTCTGTATGATGAAAAGTTCATGGCTGAAGGCCAATTGTTTGTAGGCCATTATATAATTTATAATTAGATGCTTAACGGTTTTGAAATTAAGACCTTAGAATAAATGATACAGTTTGTCCACAGTAGAAATAATACCTTACTAGGATGTTTATGTAAAATTCCCCAAAATGGAAAGAAACTGGATCTCTTAATAATCAACTTTGTTTACTGTTTGTGTTTGATATTCTGAACAGTGTCTTTCTCTGAAATTACAACTGCCATGCCAGCTAGTTGATTCCCTATTTTATCATAAACAAACATTTCATGAAGCTGGAATACCAATGTGGATTCTGTGATTTTTTTCATGTTATCTCTAGGCTAAAATCCAGAGTTTCTAGTTTAAAATCAAAAGATAACATATTTGTAATCATTATATTTTAAAAATAATTTATTATTTTTGCTGAAGCTCAGTTCTGCTTGCATTGGTAGTCTTTTTTAGGTTCTTAAACATTTCTCTGGAGAAATTTCACTAGCACCAATACAACTGCAGGATATACAGGTAGCCCTCAAGTTACCAGGGTATTTGATATCGGAATTTCTGTCCCTAAGTGATGCAGTTGTAAAGCGCAACATCATATGACTGTATTGCTTAGTGACAGCAACTTCCTGCCAGTTTCCAACTACCAGGTCGAGAAGGTAGCGGGAAGTTGGAAGTCCCAGATGACTTACAGGAGGCTGACAGACAGATAAGCAGCTGCTGTTAGGTGAGAGAATGAGAAAAGAGGTGTGTGGGTGGCCCGGGAGGCACAGCTCTAATATGGCAGGACTTGAAGTACTACTGCACTTGAGAGGGGATGTGCAAATGGCTGGGGGAGGTGCAGTGTGAGTGCCGTAAGAATTGGGGAGTGTGCACCAAGATGCACAAGTGGCAGGGAAGATGCAGTGCAAGTGCAGCAGGGCTTGAGGTGGTTGCTGCCGGGTGGGAGAGGGTGCGCGAGTGCCAGAGTAGTGAGTACAACACAGTTCAAGGAGAATGGGTGGCCAGCAAGGTGCCTGGGTGGAAGAGACTTATCCAAGCAACTTGCGTTCTTCCCCTGCTGGCCTCCCCAATGACTTGTGGGAAGCTGGCAAACTGATCCCATGACTATGGAATGCTGCAACTGTTGTAAGTGTGAACTGATTGCCAAGCATCGGGATCACAATCACATGATTGCAGGGATACTGGGACAGCTGGAATTTCAAGGAAAAATTGTAATTTAGTGCCATTGTAACTTCAAACAGTCGCTGAACAAGTGCTCATTAATAGAGGACTACAGTGGACATAGAAAGTCTACACATCCCTTTTAAAGTGCCAGTTTTTGAGATGTAAAATAATCAGACCAAGAAAAATCACTTCAGATTTTTTTCTGCCTTTAATATAACATAGAAGCCGTACAATTTATTTGAAACCAACTGAAATATTTTAGGAGGAAAAATAAAAATTAAAAACTAGAATAATGTGGCTGCATAAGTATTCACATGCTGTTATAAGTAGGTATATGGCTGTGTTCAGAATTAACCAGTCACATTCAAAGTGATAATAAATAGTAACACATCTTTCATCGTTTAAAGTGATTCTGATGAAGCCCATATCAAGTTCAACTGTTCTAGTAGGATTTTTCTAATATTTATGCAGTTGCCTCTTACAGCAAAAAACCATCATCTGCGAAGAGCTTTCAGAACATCAAAGGGACCTCATAGTTGGAAGATATCATTCAGGAAAAGAGTACAAAAATCTTTCCAAAGCATTGGCTATACCATGGAACACAGTGAAGACAGTCATCAACAAGTGGAGAAAATATGTCATAACAGTGACGTTACCAAAACTGGATGTCCTTCCAAAATTGATGAAAAAACAAGAAAAAAATTGTTCCAAAAGGCTCCCAAGAGGCCTGTAGCAACCTTAAAGGAGCTGGAGGAATTTCTGGAAAATACTGGTTTTGTACTACATATGACAACAATCTCCCGTATTCTTCATGTCTCTGGGCTGTAGGGTATGTGGCAAGACAGAAGCCTTTTCTTACAAAGAAAAAAATCTAAGCTTGGTTACATTTTGCAAAAACCTACATCAAGTCTGACAAAAGCATGTGGGAAAATGTGTTACTGTCTGATGAGATCCAGGTTGAGCTTTTTGGTCAAAAATGCAAAAAGTATGTTTGGTGCAAAAACAACACTACATCACCAAAAGTACATCATATTCACAGTGAAGTGTGGTGACAGCATAATGCTTTGGGATTAATTTTTTTTTCACGTGGAACTGGGGCTTCAGTCAAGGTGGAAGGAATTATAAATAGTTCCAAATATCAGTTAATTTTTGGCCCAAAACCTTCAGGCCTCTGCTAAAATAGCAATAGCAAAGCACTTAAGCTTATATACTGCCTCATTGTGCTTTACGGCCCTCTCTGAGCAGTTTACAGAGTCAGCATATTGCCCCCAACAACTTGGGTCTTCATTTTACCGACCTCAGAAGGACGGAAGGCTGAGTCAACTTTGAGCCAGTCAGAATTGAATTCCTGGCAGTGGGCAGAGTCAGCCTGCAACACTGCATTCTAACCACTGTACCATCACAGCTCTTCAAAATGCTGAAGATGAAGAGGAATTTTTATCTTTCAACATGATGAAGATCCAGAGCATATCTCCAAATCAACAAAAAAATAATGGCTTCACCAGAAGAAGATAAGTAAGTTTTGGATGGCCCAGCCAGAGCCTGGACCTGAATCCAGTTGAAAATTTGTGGGGTGACCTGAATAGGGGATTTACACAGGAGTTTCTCTCACAATCTGATAGATTTGGAGTGCCTTTGCAAGGAAGAGTGGGCAAAGATTGCCAAGGCAAGATGTGCCGTGCTGATGGGCTCCTACTCCAAAAACTGCTACCATAAAATCAGTGGGGGCTTCAACAAAGTATATTTAAGGTGCGCAACTTATGCAACCACATTATTGTAAGTTTTTTAATTATTTCCCCCCCCCTCCCCAAAAAGATTTCAGTTTGGTTTTCAATGGGTTGTACAGCTTATATGTTATATTAAAGTGGAAAAAATTCTGAAGTGATTTATTTTGATTTTTTTTTTTTACATTTCAAAAATCTGGCATTTTAATGGGTATGTAGACTTTCTATAGCTACTGTATCTGTATAAAATCATGGAAGATCCTTTTTGTTTTGTTTTGTTTAAACCAGCAGAAATTTCATTAATATTTATCCAATTTATATGGCTGTCCATCTCTGGCTCTTATACAAGGAAAAAGATTACTTGTGTATTTGGAGTACTTATTTATGAATACAAGTAATCTTTTCCTCTATTTAATCTCAAACTTATACTGCTATTCTGGTGCTTGCACATTTATCAAATCTTAATACTAAATCATAATAAATACTTCTCAAATCTCTACTTATTAAGGAGGTAAAACGAAGGAAAAGGACAGTGGACAAAAAGCACGTAGATGTAGCATCTGAAATAATATATTAAATGTGTTTTACATTTCTTACAAAGATTATTCTAAATAAAAAGGGTACAGTCTAGCATATTGGAGAAAAGTTTCATTTTTTAGATATGCTAAGTTAAGGTTCTTTCTCTTACTGCAATCAAGTTGGGCCTTCCTATTATTCAACCATAGAGAAAGACTTTATGGTTTATGAGATGCACAGTTTGGAAGACAGTGGCCTTTAAACATTTAGGAAGACAGGGCCCTAAGCCCTTGAATGGATATTTGCTCTTGTAAAATAGGTATATAATCATTATCGAAAAAAAGAATTGTTTTTATAAAATTAGAGAATTAGAAGTGACATTAGAAGTCATCTAGTCTAATGTCCTTCTCTCTAAATCAGTGGTTCTCAACCTTTCTAATGCTGCGACCCCATAATACAGTTCCCCATGTTGTGGTAACCCCCAACCACTTATACATCACCGGGTGCCAAGGGCGTGGCCAAAGAAAAGGGGGAAAAAATGGCGGACAGCCTTGTTTGGCGACCCCCGTGAAATGGTCATTCGACCCCAAATGGGGTCCCGACCCACAGGTTGAGAACCACTGCTCTAAATCATCTCTAACAGATTAACATCTACCTTGTGCCAAATACTTCCAGCAAAAGAAAATAACAATTTTCTTGTGGCAGCCTTGACTGACAGCTCATAGAATCAAAAAACTCTTCCTGACTGTAGCCAGAGCCTGCTTTCTTAAGGTTTTTAACACAGTGATTCTGATTTTGACTTTTGAGGCAATAGAAAATAAGATTATTCCATCTTCTGCATAATAGTTATTTAGATACTTGAAGACTATCTGTCTCATCTCCCTGACCCTAACATCATTTATTTTATCGGCTAAACATAGATCTTTTAACTGCTCCTTACAAGTCTTAATTTCCAGACATTGTACTACTTCAGTTGTCTTTGAAACTGCTTCTATTTGTCACTTCCTTAAAAAAAAAACAAAAAAACCCCCACGACCTTTGGTAACTAAAAGAGTATTGCAAATGGGGTCTGATCAAGGCAGTGTAATTGGAAAAATCAAGTCCCATGATCTGGAGTTTGTGCTTCTATTAATCTCTTCCCCACCCCCCAAAAAATACTATCTTCCTTTCTAATTAATGCATCACACAGCTATTTCATGTTTAATTAGTGATTGAGAAGGACTCCCAGATTCTTTTCATACATATTACTATCACGTATCTATCTCTCCCATTCCATATTTGTACTTTTCATTTTTCCTGCCAGATATAGAGCTTTATTTCCTCCCTGTTAAATTCCATTCTGTTCATTTCAGCCCATTACCTAATCTTTTCTAGACTCTCTGAATCTTCTGTCCTCTCTGTACTAGCCATCTTTACCAGCTTTGTGTCATACTTAATAGGTGTCCTCTCGACTCCCTCCTCCATCATTGACTAAAGTGTTAAACAGCATAGGGCTTAGGACACAGCATTTAACCATCCACTTGATAACTACACTCCAAGTAGAAAGCATCATGAGATAGTTCTTCAAGAGCTTTACTGAGGTCAATGGACACTGTGTCCAAAACATTCCCCTGATGTGCTAAGCTAGTAATCTCTATCAAAGAAAGAAAGGAAATAGTGTAGCATGATAACGTTTGCAACAAATGTGAGCTTGTTGTTGTTGTTAATTGCGAAGTCGTGTCCGACCCATCGCGACCCCATGGACAACATTCCTCCAGGTCTTCCTGTCCTCTACCATCTTCTGGAGTCCATTTAAATTCACACCTACTGCTTCAGTGACTCCATCCAGCCATCTCATTCTCTGTCGTCCCCTTCTTCTATTGCCCTCAATCTTTCCCAGCATTAGGCTCTTCTCCAGTGAATCCTTCCTTCTCATTAGGTGGCCAAAGTACTTGAGTTTCAACTTCAGGATCTGGCCTTCTAAAGAGCAGTCGGGGTTGATCTCTTCTAGGACTGACCGGTTTGAACGCCTTGCAGTCCAAGGGACTCGCAGGAGTCTTCTCCAGCACCATAGTTCAAAGGCCTCAATTCTTTGGCGCTCAGCCTTTCTTATGGTCCAACTTTCACAGCCATACATTGCAACTGGGAAAACCATGGCCTGGACTATACGCACTTTTGTTGGCAGGGTGATGTCTCTGCTTTTTAGAATGCTGTTAGATTTGCCATAGCTTTCCTCCCCAGGAGCAAGCGTCTTTTAATTTCTTGGCTGCAGTCCCCATCTGAGGTGATCTTGGAGCCCAGAAAAATAAAATCTGTCACTACCTCCATTTCTTCCCCATCTATTTGCCAGGAATTGAGAGGGCCGGATGCCATGATTTTGGTTTTCTTAATGTTGAGTTTCAAGCCAACTTTTGCACTCTCCTTCTTCACCCGCATCAAGAGGCTCTTTAGTTCCTCTTCACTTTCTGCCATTAGAGTGGTATCATCTGCATATCTTAGGTTGTTGATATTTCTCCCGGCAATCTTAATTCCAACTTTTGATTCATCTAGCCCTGCCTTTCTCATGATGTGCTCTGCATATAAGTTAAATAGGCAGGGCGACAGTATACAGCCTTGCCGGACTCCTTTTCCAATTTTGAACCAATCAGTGGTTCCTTGTTCGGTTCTCACTGTTGCTTCTTGACCCGCATATAATGTGAGCTTACTCTTGTTAATTAGGGCATACTCACCAAAATGCTGTTTAACAATCTGTTAGAGCAGGCAACCTTGGCTCTTTTATGACTCTTGGATTTCAATTCCCAGAATTCCTGAGCCAGCCCTGCTGAGGGGAAAGCGAGAGGTTTCCAAGCGGAGCCATGCTGACTTGGGAATTCTGGGAGTTGAAGTGCAGGAGTCATAAAAGAGCCAAAGTTGCCTACCCCTGTGTTAGAGTATTATACATGAAATTGCTAACAGAACTGTAGTTTCCCAGATCCTCCCTTTCAAGGATGTCAGTAACATTTGCTGGGCCTTATCGGTCTTCTAATCTAGAGTTCCGAAAGATTATTGAGAGTAGTTTTGTGACTCTTTCACTACTCTTAAGATGCAATCCATTTGACCCTGGAAATTTGAATTTATTTAAATTAGCTAAATGTTCGTTTACTCTTCCGTTCCCTCCTTCCCTCTTGTGGAATAATAATGACCAGTTAGAGCTATATTCCCCTTCTGGGAGAAGTTTGGCATAAAATAGGAGTTTAAAAGTTCTGCCTTCTCATCACTTATTACCAATATGATGCTTTCTCTTTGCAGAGGAGCATTTTGACTTATCTTTTATTTCTAAGTAACTCCAGCTCATCCCGAGATTTAATCTTTCTGACACAATTTATAAAGTCCGTTCCTACAATGGAGGAAAAATTAAGGAGAGTACTTTGCTTTATCTTTCATTATGCATTCCTTCTTTAGTTTTCTCTAAGTCTTTTTCTCTTCAGGATTTTAGAATTTGTTTGTTGTTGTTGAAGTTAATGCTTATCCTTAAGTGATTAGTAGTCATTCTCAACTTTGCTACATTTCAGTTGTCAGTATCTGTCCATCAGTGTAGGATTGCAATACCATATGTTAAATCTAGGTCTTCTGGAATTAAATATGGCTTCCTTTTTCCTAAGTTTCTGTTCAGTTTTAATAGGACCTTCCATTAGAAAATTTGTGGTCTAAATACTGTAGAAAGAAGTATAAGATTCATAAATTGAAATAAATTATTGGGACATTTCCCTTAATACTATTTAATTTATTTGTTTAGTTCACCAGTTAGAAATATTCCCATTATCTTCTGTGAATGATACGGTCCACCTTTGCCAGGTCCAGAGTTGGTGATCACAAGTTTCCTGCGTTGAACAGCAGCGTTGGGTTTAAGGGTCCAATGGGTGCTGGCCATCTCCTATGTTACAAAGATGTATCACTCTGCTGAGCTCAGCTGCCCGTTGCTCTGGAGCGATCATTCCATTTTGCTATTGCAATACACGTTGTCCTTGACTTATGACCACAGTTGAGCTATGCTGACTCAGGAATTCTGGGAGTTGAAGTCCATGAGTCATAAAAGAGCTGAGGTTGCCTACCCCTGACCTATAGATACTAGGCTGCATTCTGTGGTTCCCCTTTAGGTTTCTGTTTTTAAATATGTCTTTTCTAACTTTAGGATTCAGGCACATGTAATACCTTTAGCTTTAATTGGGTCAGCATTCATTATATTTTCATTATTCGGCCTTCGTCATTATAAAGCAATCTTTCTGTTCATTCTATTTGATTACTTTTCTTATTCAATTAGGTTAAAAGAATATCAGTTCTTAGGTACATTTTGCCAAATTAGAAGCATTTTTAGGATGAATCTAATTTAAATCATTTTTTCAAGAGGAAAAGCTTTCTGAGAGTTCATCCTTGTGGATAATTATTCTTCAGTATCCAGAGGCAGTTTCATTTTTAGAAGTACAAATATAGAGCAACTATATTTTTTTCAGATTAATTTACATTTTAAAAAAATGGAACAATGAATTAAGTACCTAAAAAGCAGGCATATACTTTAAAAATAATTATGAGGAACCGAATTCTAATTCTTTTTAAGTTAATTATTTTGAAATATATTTTCTCATGATGTGCTCAAACAACCATCACTGATTTTTAAATTACAGTACATTAAATAATATTGACTTTCTGTGCACTTTTAGAGAGAGTTACAGTCACTTTAAAGTATGTGCCCAGCTCTTACTTGTTTTCAGATGATTATTTATCCTAAAACATTTTCATTTATAAGCTGCTAAATAAAATTAGAAACTTTCAGGTATATTTGGGAGAAGGTAGTGAGTCATCAGCCAACCATATTTTTTGTATAGAAAAATATTACCCTGAACTTTTTTCCCTTAGTATTTCAAATGTGTGTGTTATATTTATATTTATATTTAAATACATTGAATTTTAGCAATTTAAATACTGTATATCAAGTAAAAGGTTGATCAGGACCTTGCCAGTAAAATCGCTTATCACATTTTTCTCATTGACTCATATAGCTCAAAGAAAATGAATGGCACATTGGATCATCCTGACCAACCAGACCTAGATGCTATCAAGATGTTTGTGGGCCAAGTCCCACGGAGTTGGTCTGAAAAAGACTTGCGAGATCTATTTGAACAGTATGGTGCTGTCTATGAAATTAATGTCCTGCGAGACAGAAGCCAAAACCCACCTCAGAGCAAAGGTGAGAGGTTTTTTTTTCTTCCCATCAAGTTTTAGAAAGGCAACATTTGGCTGCACGTAGGGCCACAGATAGAACCAAGTGACTTAATGATTGGCATCAAGCGTTGTGTACATTAAAAGTTTCACCCAGTTGTTTCCATTATTTATACAAACATGAGTGTTTCCAGGCACCTACTGGTGTCATTCATTTCTATATTTAATAATAATAGTAAATTACTATAGTAATAGTAAATATTTAATAATAGTAAATTGAACATTTTTAATTTTGTTATCCACAATGATATGTGTTAATTAAGTTTTATAAATAATCATTGTCCATTTAATATCCAATGCGCATCTTCTATAATACTGGTTTCATAATATACACAAGGCTCTCAAACGAATCATTTTATAAGACTGAAAATTATCCTGACCTTCAGTCCAGTTTATAAACTACTAATTTATTAGGAGGACGAGGACATTATTAAAATATGTGAGTCATAAATGAGGTGTGTGGGCAGTTTATTTCAAGAGCAGATGAGTTTTTATTGGGCCAGTTATACATTCTAGGAATTACAGTTTGGTGGTCTTATATAGTAGAATGATAGAATCTGTGTCACTTCAGATGGTGGGCAGAGGGTGTTGGGGAAGAGGTAATACTGGGAATTTTTTTTAGAAAAATATAGTAAGCCATCTTGTTCTGTTTTTTACTTGTAGGATATTTGGGGGGTTTCCCCCCATAAAATCAGAAGAAATAATTATATTATTTGCTTTACGAACTTACTGGGAAGCATATATTAACAAGACCTAATAAACATATAACATTTTAAATATACTGTCTGATCTAGAAGGAATTCATGTGCAGAACAAATTTATTCTCTCATTCCCTGAAACATTATTAGTAGAAGATTGAAATCATTGTAGCATAGGAAACTGCATAGGACAGAGTGAGTTAATAAAGCTCCCCTTCCTCCAATAAAATTGTCCCCTTTTTGTGGGATATCTCTAGATCTAACTAGATTGTTTAAACATAGTCTGTAAGTAGGTAGTTTTCATATCATACATTCTACTGTAAATTAACATCTAATTAGTCAAGATTCTTGAAAGAAACAGCTTTCAGTCTTATAAAAAAAATTGTTGGTGGTCATGTGAAGGCTACACCTGGAATATGTGGCATTCAAATGTATATTACATGTCTCAAAAAAGTTCAGAATTAGGATGCTAAAAATGCCCAATTTAGATAATTAACTAATGTAGTAATTTAAGCTTGAAGTGGCTTTTAGTATGTGTTACAGAATGTGTTTATTTCGTAGGGTGCTGTTTTGTTACATTTTATACCCGTAAAGCTGCACTAGAAGCACAGAATGCTCTTCATAACATGAAGATCCTCCCAGGGGTATGACAAATTATATAATTTCTATATCAGCAAAACCACATTGGAAATGCTACATTTTCCCTAGTAGATTGTGTGGAATCCTTTGTCCTACTGTATATTTATGACTTATTTTGTATCTCTTTGTTCAGAACAATTTTTTTTACAAATAAAATGATAAGTACCTGACTATAACATGTTTCAAATTAATACAGTTATTTTGTGTATAAGTGATGGGTGATGCTTTGTAGGATGTTCTCAGGGCTTTGAATTCAACATTTTTCAAGATTGAAATGTCCCATTTTAGTCACTAAATAGTTCCAAACCTTCCTGGAAGTGATTTAAGCACAAATTCAAAATAGTTTATAAATGGACAGTACAGGCCATTGTGAGCTTGAAATGATTGTTTTATATTGAAAACATTTTGAATTTGTTTTGCATATTCCAAACAGTTTACTTTATAAAATAAAATGTTCCTCCATTACTTTCTTATCACAGATGCACCATCCCATTCAAATGAAGCCAGCTGACAGTGAAAAGAATAATGGTGAGTGTGTGTAAAAGATTATTTGGCCTTGGTATGTCCTATCACATTGTTGCAGCAACATTCATTGCATTATATGCCAAAATTGCAACTTATGGACACTTAAAAAAAATATTAAAAGCTCAGATCCCAACAATGCCATCAATGAAATAAACATCCTCTCGCAATTTCATGTTATTCTGTTGAAAATCAGAATAAGAAATGCAGACATTTTTATTTCATATTCAAAAGAAGACAGCTTCAGAAGTTTGAAACATTTCCGATAATGTTAAAATAGATTGTTTGAAACTCAAAACGTTTGTTTTCAGTTCATTGCTTTTTGCACACAGCTCTTCTACTAAACTGAGAGAGAATAGATTTTTCTGACTCTTGCTCTAGACTGAAGATTCTAGATTGGTGGTGGGAGGGTAAAGAAAGTATTCTGATGCTTATGATAATGTTCATTTTGGGGAAACTTACTGATAATTTTTTCTGGATTGTTCTATAAAAGGAACAAGGAAACTTACCCAATCAGGTAAAATAGTCAAGCTACTTTTCAACTTTTGTTGTTGTTTTTCATCTTAGCGGTGGAAGATAGGAAACTATTCATTGGGATGATCTCAAAGAAGTGCAATGAAAATGATATCAGAGTGATGTTTTCCTCTTTTGGCCAAATTGAAGAATGCAGAATTCTACGGGGTCCTGATGGCTTAAGCCGAGGTACACACAGACCTGTTTGCAACTGATAACTCTTCCCTTCAGACCTCTCTTTCTCCTCCTGTCTCCCCATCCCTTGTCTTCCCCATCTGTATAGACATATAAGCCCCTTATATTTAATTGGGAAGTTTTAGAAATGGGCAAGATGTTTCTTCTGTTCAGGAGATAATTTGGATAAACTATTTAATTTTGACTGTATTCCCTTCTAGGTTGTGCTTTTGTGACTTTTACCACAAGAGCAATGGCACAAACAGCAATCAAAGCAATGCATCAAGCACAGACCATGGAGGTAAAAAAACAAACAAACCAATTTTGAGAGGTTTTTATGTTTGTATTTAAGTATTGCTAATGGTATTCTAAGGACAATTTAAAGTGTTAGTTGTAACTTTTAAAGCCTACACCGTTTAGGGCCTACTATCTGATGATTGAGTTTTATTGACACCCATTAAAGTCAACAAAATACACCCTCTTAAAGATACTTTCACTTGAGATTCTCTTCATGTTTAGCTTCCAAGAATGCACTTGGACTCTCTTTTGCAGTATTACCAAAGGAGTTAATACTTCCCATCACAGCCAGATATTTTAGTTTATATTAAAAAATCCCTTAAAATTCTTGTAGAAACACTTAAAGCACTATATTTTCAACTGTTTTTGAGTTTTAAAGGTTTTTTTAAAAATTGTATTGATAACGTCAATGAGTGGTAATAACACATCCAAATCATAATACACAAATGTTTAGTTTAAGCTTTCTAGTTACTATGCTAACATCTCTTCATTCATACCCCCTGCATGGCACATAACCATACTTTTCTCCACTTCTGTGCAAAATAGGAAATATAAATAAGATACATGAATCTGCATTGGAATTCTGGAATGTGACAGGTTGCTTTAAAAAGCAGACAGTTTCAGAATGTATGTTCTTTTTAAAGCAATTATTTAAAGAATGTAAATTGTTAGGATTTTGGAAAGATGACAAAAGCTACAGCTGTGTGAATTGTATTGCAGGGATGCTCTTCTCCCATCGTAGTGAAATTTGCAGATACTCAGAAAGATAAAGAACAGAAACGAATCGCACAACAACTCCAGCAACAGATGCAACAGATTAGTGCTGCCTCTGTTTGGGGAAATTTGGCTGGACTAAACACACTTGGACCCCAGTACTTGGCAGTGAGTGTATTTGACAGTTTCTGATCAGAGTTATTTTCTAAATAATTTAACACACATTTCTTGTTTGCAAGTATTCTCATTCTGAGACTCTCTTACAAGCTCAAAAATTGGTAGTGGTAGGAGTGGTAAGTATAGATGATTGAAATGTTTTTTAACATTGAAGTATTGCCATGTGTTAGGATTTCTATTGTAAGAAGGAATGTGGCACTTAGTTGAGGATTTATGTTGTAGAACTTATGCATTTATAGAGTAAATAGGGAAATGAACGTTTATTTTTCTTTTTACTACAGTACCAATATACAATACTCTACCAATTTGCACAGTACCCTGCCATATACACAATATGAAGATGTCAGAACGTGCATAGTCTTAATTGTGCGAGATAACCCAGGAATAAACACAGTAAACAGTGGTCTATAGTAAAGGGTGGTTTATCTTACACTACCCACAATATCATACACCAGGAACAATATACATATATGTGCTAATACAGCAGGATCAAACACACCATGGTTACAATAGGAAAATGGAAGAGAGAACACAGCTGTGGAGCCTTCCTTTTTTACAAAAGCTCTTAAAGAGACACAGACCTAGTTGTTTCTTAAAGGGATACAGACCCTGCTGAGTCATTCCCTTCATTACATCTTACATGAGCTGGTTAGCTATTAAGTCATTACCTTGACAGAAGACATTACTGTTACCTGTGGGTTTGCCCTTATAGCCTTCTTCCCTTGTTTTTATTTACCTTGCCTCCTCTCAGAATACTTTTATGGTATCTGAGTAGGGAGGAGTTAGCAGATAAATGTTTCACCAGTGTTAGAAACCTTTGTAGCCAGTGTTGGTGGCACACTAGCCATGAGTAAATGAAGAATATTTCATCTTGAATTGCATGAGCAATTGGATTGTTCCTTTTTTAATAGCATCCTTCTTGGTATGGATTCACTGCTGCTTTGTGTGTATTGGTGATATGTGTGGTCAGTAAGAATTGTGCTTGTAACGGCATTTTGGCTGTGGTGTAGTGCAGTGTCTCCCAGAAGTGGAGCCAGCCCTCATTCTCACTCTTGTTCTGTTTTTGGTGTAATGTCTAGCTTTATTTACAGCTCCTTCAGCAGACAGCAGCTGCTTCTTCTGGGAATTTGAACACACTGGGCAACCTTCATCCAATGGGAGGTAAGTTTCTTTCTATTCTTTCCGCTTGGGATCTGATAAATAGGGTCAGTAACAAAGTGAAAAATGATTGATGTGCTGTGATATATTAATATTAGTGAAGACAGATCTTGGTTGCCCATACAAAAGAACTCAAGGACATATTCAGGTTTTTAACTTGAATACAAATATGCAATAGCTGATCTTTTCACAAATGTAAGCACCTTCTCTTTAAAACTTGCTATGTTCTACTTTATGGGAACAGGTGCCAATCTGACTTCACTATTTAAAAAGGAATCAAAGAATACTAAAGAAAAATTATGGGTCAATTAATTTCACACCTGTTCCGAAGAAGAATGGTTGAAAGTATTGTTAGAATTTTAAAAAAAATATGTAGAAGACTTACTGAAAAGAAATCAGCATGATTTTCAGAAAGATTAGTCTTTTTCATTGATTTTTCTAGACTATTTTAGGATGTAAGCAAGTGCGGGGACAAGGCTGATTCCATAGGTAACTTTATACTGGATTATAAATAAAGTCTTTGATACAGAATTATTATGAACATGCTTGGTGGTGTTTTTAAAGATTTGTGTGCCAATATCTTTTTAAACTTTACATTGAAGTACAAAGGGAGGTCTCCACAGCGGGTAAATTGGCTTCAAAATGGCAAATGTACTTCAGCGTAAATAAGCGTAAAATGAAATTGGCACACAAATCCAAACTTCACTTGTATATTTATTGGATCCTAGTTGACAGAGGCTGACCAGAAAAGGGATCTTGAAATTACAATGGAGAGCTCAGTAAAAAAAAATCAGTCCAATGTGAGCTGCTGTTAAAAAAAATAGAGTGAATGAATTTCATGCAAGGAATCATTAGGAAGAGAATTGAAAGAAGAATTGTTTATTTATTTATTTGTGAGACTTATATACCGCTTTAAGTGCAAGCACTCTCTAAGCGGTGTACACCAGTAAGCAATGTATATATATATTTACATTGCCCCCAACAATCTGGGTCCTCATTTTACCTACCCCGGAAGGATGGAAGGCTGAGTCAACCTTGAGCCGGTGAGATTTGAACCGCTGACCTGCTGAACACAGTCAGCTAAAGTGGCCTGCAGTATTGCACTCTAACCGCTGCGCCACCTGGGCTCAATTGTTGATACAATAAAGAGCAAAAAATATCAGTCAATATGATAGAGGGGCTAGAGATATCAGCAAGTAAGAGTTATTTAGCTTGGAAGAAAGGGGGTAAGATTATTGGACTTCTTCTTCCATCAAAACCCATTTCTAATTGATGATGATGCTGGGTCCACCAGTGGTTAATGGCAGACACACTGCATTAATTGATGTATTTCAGGGTTGAATGCAATGCAGTTGCAGAATCTAGCTGCATTAGCAGCTGCAGCTAGCGCAGCTCAGAATACCCCAAGTGGAACAACTGCACTCAACTCTTCCAATAGTCCATTAAGTGTTCTCACCAGTTCAGGTAAGGGAGTTGTTTTATTTATGTGTTTTTTGATTAATTGACCTATTTTTGCCTCTTTGCATACATAACAATAGAACCAGTTGCCATGATTTAATTATTAAACCTTGCCCTATATGAAGATAAAAATTACATCCCAAAACATGTGTTTATGATTGAAAAAAACAAGGAAGCAGGTGCTTCTGATTTGCTGAATAGTTATGTGATTTTGCTACGTAATTACAGGAATATAGCAATAGCACTTAGACTTATATACCGCTTCACAGTGCAGTATACAGCCCTCTCTAAGGGGTTTACAGCCCTCTCTAAGCAGTTTACAGAGTCAGCATATTGCCACCTACAGTCTGGGTCCTCATTTGATCAACCTTGGAAGGATAGAAGGCTGAGTCAACCTTGAGCCGGTGAGAATCGAACTGCCAAACTGCTGGCAGTCGGCAGTCAGCAGAAGTAGCCTGCAGTACTGCATTCCAACCACTGCACCACCATGGCTCATGTATACATGCATTCATATTTACAAGGACACACAGAAAACTTAAATTTCACAAGAGGATATTTATTGTTTGTAAGTGTAATTGATCCATTTGTTCAATGAAACACATTGTCTGAAATGTTTTACTACATTCTCTTGAATTTTCTTTGCAGATACAATTTTTTTGAAAATTGAGATAGAATTTGGAGAAATTTGGTTTTACAGTGACATTATTTGTACCTTATACTACGACTTGCTTTAATCATGCTTTTTGAACAAGCCAGTTGGTCTTACAGATAAATGTAGTAATGGTTTATTTCCATTTAGTAGTTTTTAACTTGAAGATCTCAGAACTGGATGGGGCAGAAAAACCTACCAAGAATAATACATAAAATCACAAATGAGGCGCCTCTGCAGAAATCACAGCAAGCCAGTAGCAGATTTCTTTTAACGTGTGGCTTATTGCTGTAAAACAAGGGATTGTTACTTCTAATATTATTTACATATCATAGTAGGCAAAAAGCAAGCCACACAATTGCTTGGCTTGATATTGGAAATTTCTTTTATTTCTGCTGATTGGAACTAAATGATGGTAATTTTAGATATGGAATAAAATAAATGAAACTTAAGAAAATCACTAGAATTTAAAATTAAACTTGCCTGTGCTTGACTGACCTCTTGCACCTCTTCTTTTTGTTGCCATACCAAGGTATGATATCAGACTATGGTATGTATACCCATAATATGGAACAGGGTTAGTTACTGAGTATTCTGAGATGGCAAAAAAGAAAGAATACTGTGGCCTGGGTCATTCTGCTTAAACAGTAATAAATTGAGAGTCTGTAAGTAGCAAATGATTCTGGCTCACTGGATGAGCATTTCATTGGATACTACATGGATACTCCAGAGGTTTTTCTTCATTGCAATTTTCATCTAGGCAAAAAATAGCAGGATTGCTTCTGAATGTTGGTAAAAAGTCTTGCTATTTCTTACTTGACTCATACTTCCCACAAATTAAAAGATACATTTTGGAACCTAGAGGATACAAGGCTGAAGACTGGGGATTGCTGTTCACTGAAAATTCTTTTGGGAAAATAGAAGAGAGAGAAAAAGGAAAGTTTATGCCGCTTTCCACTTGATATTTTAGAAGAATCTTGAATGTGCTTTATTTAGGCCTTTCAGAGATAGTGCTAGGTCATTTTGATGCTGTTGAAAGTTCTTGCTGATGTTTTAACTCTCTCATTTTAAATAGCAGGTTCATCACCCAGTTCCAGTAGCAGTTCCTCAGTAAACCCAATGGCTTCTCTTGGAGCGCTGCAAACACTGGCAGGGGCTACTGCAGGCCTGAATGTTGGCTCTTTAGCAGGCAAGTCCAGTACATTGTAAGCAGAAGTCAGACTCCATCATTGTTTGCTTCATACACATGCCTCAATTTCCCCTACTTGATCCATTATCTTACTTGAAACCTTATGGGAAAAAATATTTATTCATATTTTCTGTATAGGAATGGCAGCCTTAAATGGAGGGCTAGGCAGCGGTGGCCTTTCAAACGGCACAGGGAGCACAATGGAGGCCCTAACTCAGGCATACTCTGGGATTCAGCAATATGCTGCTGCTGCATTGCCCACACTTTACAATCAGAGTCTTTTAACACAGCAGAGTATTGGTGCAGCAGGAAGTCAGAAGGAAGGTAAGTAGGAGGCAGTGTTGAGAAAGTTTGTTCTTTAGCTGTGTCGTACTAAGCCCTGGGTATCATATTATACTCAAAAGACTCTTCTCCAGTGATACGGAATCTGAAGTTAAGGATAAAACATGGGACTTATAAACATGTTATAGTGCATTTTGCAGACATTTTTACAGAATATTGTGGTTACTCTGAAACATCTAATTCTAAAATCCTGTTTAGTTTTATCTTTCACCCAACCAAGAAATTCATTTTTAAAATTGATATATACAGTGTGTTATTTTTAATATTTTCAGTCACATTTTGGGACCATCATTAATCATTTCTTATTTATGAGAAAGTACGTAGCAGTTTTTTGCATACAGTATCCTTAATCTATACAGATGCTTTGCAAGTTATTTGGCCAGTGCTGTTAACTGTTGCTAATTGGAGGGTTGAAATTGCCAAAATCTTGATTTAGTGGGAAAAAAATGGTTTAGTGAAAGGTTATCTAATTAATTTTACCTGATGTGAGAGTGCTGTTATTTTATGGATCATATTGTCTCATAGGTCATATATTTATTGTGGTTGTATCACATTTTAAATACACGACAACCTTATTGAAACATTAATCTGAAGGTGTAGGCTTTAAAATGGAAAGAGTGATGGTGCTCTGCATCCTTATTTTGAATTGTATTAAGGAAGTACAGCCTGGTCATCTTATCAACGTTAAAGCATCACAACTTCCTGAAGTGGGCTAGAATTTATCGTGCCTACGTATTTAATTATCAAGATTTGTTTCTGTATTTCTGGTCTTTGACTGAAACTACAAATAATGGTCCTTTATTTTTTAAGTATTTTTTTATTTTTACTCTATTGTTATTTGTTCTTATTTAAAAATGAACACTAGGTATCATTTTTAACATCGCAAGATAATTAATTTCTGCAGACAGATTTTTCACTAATATCATGAGTTTTGACTGTTAATTAAACATGCTTTTACCTCTCCTTTATTTTCTGTATTAAAATCCAAGAAGTTCTACTTCTTTTAATTTCCTTCTAAATGGATATTTTAAAGGTCCAGAAGGAGCCAATCTGTTCATCTACCATCTTCCCCAGGAATTTGGGGACCAAGACCTGCTACAGATGTTCATGCCTTTTGGGAACGTTGTCTCTGCCAAGGTTTTCATTGACAAGCAGACCAATCTAAGCAAATGTTTTGGTATGTTCTGTTACATTGTTTTTCGTAAAAGAAGAATATTCATATCAAAGCAGTTGTTCGGAAGGTTTGTCCCACCTTCTTCCTCTAATTATTTCTCTCAGCTTCTCCCCTCAGAAAACAATAACCAGCTGATGTATAATGAACTGGTACAGAAACTTACTGTGAAACATTTAAGTCAGTAAGTTGCTGTTTTGTAGCTAGCAGCTTAAGTAAATAGATGCATTGAAAAAAAACATCGTAGTATTTCAAGTAACTAAAATCTTTTAGCTGAAAATATATCCACTTGCTTGTGCAAGCAAGTTATATGTAAGCAAAACATAGGTAAATAAAGCAACATGACTCTAAACTTAAAAGTAGAGTTAGTATGATTGCTCAGTCATATATTTAACAATTATACTCACTAAAAATTACAGGTTTGGATGGCATCTGGAATATTCTAGCCCTTCTTTTCCAAGAAATTAAACATCAGTAGAAGAATTGACATTTACAGATTGTATCTCTAAAAAGACACTAACATCTGCTAGTTTGTTTGAGTCGAGTAGGGAAATTTTGCCTCAGTTGTATTTTTTTTAAAGTTCTATCTCATATGCTTTATCTGTAATTACACTAAAGATTAAGATTGGTTTTGTATTAAAAGCAAAAATGCAAGCTGTGGTGATGGTGGGTAGAGATGATGATGATGATGTACTTAGATATTCTTATCCTCTAATTGCACTTAACTGTTGAGTTTTTCTTTTCTTAGGTTTTGTAAGTTATGACAATCCAGTCTCTGCACAAGCTGCCATCCAGTCAATGAATGGATTTCAAATTGGCATGAAGCGACTGAAAGTTCAGCTCAAGCGCTCTAAGAATGACAGCAAGCCATATTGAGTGCCCCTCCCCCTGGAACTGGAGTGAGAAGGATCTTCTGGTAAGTTGGGGAGGAGCCCACTTAGGGATTCAAAAACTCTTTAAGGCTGTATTTTTACAGTCACAGAAGCTGATTGATACCATTCTGTCTGGCACATCTTCTCCTGAAGACTCAGCTGCAGCCTCTACTGGGAATTCTGCGGATGGAGGACAACTTTGTGCTTTTGTTTCCAGTGTTTTACTTTGGAGCTTAGGTGCCATATCACTATTTTTTTTTAAAAAAAAAAGTTTGCTGTGTTTGTAACTGTGTTTTTGAGAAGGACCAATGCCAGCCACCTTGGAGAGCAAAGGAAAATAGTAAGTGCAATTGGAAATGACACTGCATGACTTAGATATGAGGAGACCCCAATGATACTCATGAAAGGGTGAAGCAGGAAGCTGAATCCAAATCATATGGTGGTTGGTTAATGAACAACCCCTAAGGAACTTTGCCAAGCTATTTGCTAGATTTATTTAGTAAATGCCTTATGTGAGAACTGTATACAGAATCAGTCAGTTGGAGGATAATAGTTGGGCAAAAATATTCACGTGGTAAAGGAAAAATGCAGTAATTATAATGCTAAAATACGTTTGTATAGTGCAATGTGTGTGGTTGCAGCTTATAAAAGTATCCAGTGATGTTTTCTGATCAGCTGTTTACACTTTGGACAGAACAATCTTTTTTAAAATTGGATAATATGAATTAGTGTTTCAATTTCTTGGAAACTACACTTGAAGTTAGTTGGTTTAATGCAGCTATCTACACTTCAGGCTGTAATCCAGGAATTCCTGGATTTAATTTACAATCTTATTACTACAAATCCAATGTTTCATGATAAAATTTGTTCTTCCCCGTTCTAGAAATTGTACATGAAGGTGTAACTAGAAATGGTGCTCATAAAGTACAAGTTAAAACCTCCTTAGTGTTAAACTGACAGTTGGTTTTAAAATGAGCTCTTATTGCTCTGATTTCTGACATTCTTTTTTTTTTTTCAACTTGTGTGAGCGTGTGTCAGAATAATACTGGCCCAAAGATTTTTTCTTGTTGCTTATATAGATTTATTTTTCACAAATATTGTCAGCTTATTACATAGCAGTTTTCCTTTGAGTGTGTGCCAGTACAAAGGAATAAATTCAAAGGTCTGAATTTGTGCAGGATTTGGATCTGGTCTATATACTGCCTGAGCCTAGTGCCTAATAATTCAAAGTCAGATTTCTTTCCCTTCTAATACACATCCTTTTTTTCACGTGGGTGTATGCCAAAAGCATTAAATTTTTATACACACTGTAAGTCTGAGTCCAAAGGGAATTTTTAACAGTATGAGTTGAGCCATGGCAAGAAATTATGTAAAATCTAGTCTTGAGGCTACAAAAAGCTACTCCTATTGTTAGGAAAGTTTACAGTGTTATATATAGATTCAGTGTATTGCTACATTGGATGGAAAAAATCTCCAATGAAGATTCAAAAGCTCATCAAATTTGAAATGCCATTGTATAAGATAAAAATCTCCAATGAAGATTCAAAAGCTCATCAAATTTGGAATGCCATTGTATAAGATAAAACTCAGTGGGAAAACCAGATGTTTACTAGGGACTGGGTCCCCTTGTTTACTAAAACTGAGGCATTATAATTTGTGTAAGGCTACCCATCTGTGATTCAAGTTGTTTTTCTGATGAATTTGGAATCTCACTGCAGATTTATAACTTGATGAATGGCATAGTAAAAATTTAAACAGCGTTTATTTAAAAAAAGCATATACTGTACAGTGGTGATAAAAAGGTGGAATGGTCAGATTGCCAAATTTTCCATTTGTGCTGGCATGTGGTATCCTTCAGTGTTGAATATTTGGGGTCTAATTTAGAAGCATATGCATACACTTAGATAACTGTATACCATTTGATTGTTTGTGCACTAGGAGAAATTTTATCCTGATATTATTAGGATGAGGGAGTGTTGGAGTGCTAAGGGTCCCAGAATTGTCAAGGGATTTTTTAAAATAAAAATATACTTTCAGGAAAAAAAAAAGAGGTCATGGTTGGGAGCAGTTGCTCCAGTTGCAACCTGATATAACCAAGAATGTTGTTTCTATTTTTATAGAAGTTTTATACTGCTCCAGGGTGGAGAATATTTATTATCTAAATTATTTCACTGGATAAGACCAGGGTTTTGCATAATCCTGAATGTGATTGTGTAATGCATACATAAACAATGTGCATGATTGAAACTACTGACTTTCAGTGGCCTGTGTGTAACGGGGCAAACTGCTAAATAGGATAAGAATTAATGCTGTGAACCAGTGGAGGAGGAAAGCTGTGCTCAATTTTTGCTATAGTCACTCCTCCCAGTACCACTACTCTTCTCAGTCACTATTACTAGCTTTTCTAAATACTTTGTTGCTATTTATTCAATGTCCATATACTTTGTAACTTTTCTGTATGTTTCCATTATGACCGCTATGGGGCAACTTTCCTCCTGTTGAACTAGCAACACAATATTTGTGTTATGCTTATCCTATAATACAGTATTTCCTTTCATAGGTATGATCAGCGCAAGTGCCCTAATTCCACTGTCAGAGTTACCAAAGTTTAAAATGCAGGTTAAATTCTAAAAATGGGATCTTTGGAATAGATTGGCAGAATTCCTGTGCCTTCAGTGGTGCCATTCTGAACTTTAAGATAGTATGCTTCAACCAAAATACTTGTTTCTTCTCAATTTCCCGTGACCTGGCCACAAATGCTTTTCAAAACAAATAATGAAGATTTGTTTCCCAGGGAGAGTCCCACTTGGCAAGAAAATGAATCTGGTTTATACAAGGATACATATAGATGCCCCTCTGAGGTTTTGCTTCCACATATCATGCTATTTTCTGGACAGATTGTTACTCTGCCTTCACCCTCCGCCCAATTTTTGGTAGAAAATCAGTGAAGCCAATCAAATTGGAACCTAATCATTTAGTTACTTGATATCATAATTGCTTATACATACATTCTCAGATTAAAATAGTGAGTTTGGTAATACATATGCAGAACACTGAAATTGATAAAGAACTCCCAAGTTATACTGAAAATTATATTGACCAGAGTTGGCATTCATGAACCAAATTGTGCAACAACAAGAGCCTGAGTTAGTTATTGGGAGGGAGGGTGGATAACTTTAAAATAAATAGTCATCATGGTTTTGCAAGTAGCTTTTTAACTACGTATTTTGTTAATTCATGTGAATGGATGGATTCTGGGAAAGAGAAAAATGTTCTATTCAAGTTTTTGGGTATGTATTTTATGATAAAAATAAAGACTCTCATATTTTATTTCAGCAAACTAACTTTCATAATCTCATACACACACACCCAAAGGTAGGATTCCTGCAAGTGTAATCTTTGCTGTTTCCTTAATTCAAACATATTTGGGCAAAAGACACTGCTTCTTAAAGGAGAAGGTTGAGAAGTAGGGAGGGGTGCCCAAGTCAGATCTTTGGCATCTTTGAACCTGAACATTGCACACCTATAGTTAAGATTAGAGATTTTTCTGCCAGTGGGAGTCTTCTTGGGTTCACTAAGGATACTTCAGGGAAGTGGCTTTACTAATGTACTTCTCTTAGTGTTACTATCAAATTCTTCCAGTGAATTCCCCAGTCCTAGGATATTCAGGGGTATAGTGAATTATAATGAGAAGGAAAGTTAACAAGGATTACCCCTCCCTTGTTTCAGCTGAAGAAGCGTTGCCCTAGATCCAAAACATCAACTAACGGAAGGATGGTTTGTTTCACTCATTTTGATTCCAAGCCAGTGTTGTTAAACTAAGTAAGTTTAAAATTAAATAACATAGTGTAGCTTGACATTTGTTTAAAAAAAAGTAAATTATATTCACACAAATGTATTCTTCATTCGTATTACTCAGCTGAAATAGATCTCTGTATTTAAATCAAAATATTGTAACATGCATTTATTATAATTAGGATGGAAGTGAGGGCAAATCTAAGAACAATACTTTTTCCAATAATCGTATGCTGCTTCAGACAATTTCTTATGAACACTATGTTAAGAGAATGCTTTAATGTGTTTGTCCTTGATATTTAGGCCTCTTGTGTTGTGATCCTGTTAGAGATTCTGTCACTTTGAAAATCTCTTTACCAGTCTCTGCAGATAAAAATCCTTCCTTTCAAAACTGGCAGAGGTGACTATAGAACTTTTGAGAGTCCAGAGTTCCTCCTCACAGAATCAAAAGAGCAAGATTTATGTATTGAAAAGAGTTGCAAAATGAGGGTGGTGGGTTTTTTTTTTTTTTTTGCAAGTATCATAGTAAAAAGGGCTCAACTGCAGCAAGTCTTAACTTGCAATCAAGTCTTAATTCTTTCTGTGAGGGCATCAGTTTTACTCACATTGTAAAAACGTGTTTAATGTCATTTACTGCCAGAATCTACATACATGTGCATACATACGCATACATATGAGTTCCAATTGCCTAAGTATGCCCCATAGTAAGAAGAAGAAAGTGTTAAACTCTCAGTGCCCAGTTGCCCAGTGATCTCTGCTTTGTCCTCCCACCTGTCATGTGAACTGTCCTACAATTGCATTTTGTGAAGTCAGGTTCTCGTGGAAGAGGGGGCTGCTACCTTCCTCATGAAAAGGTAACAGGAACACTGACTTAGAGCTGTGTTGAATGCACAGCTGTATGCCGCTAAGTCAGACTCCATTCTGTAGCCAGAGTCTAAAGGGAATCCCAGGCCTCTGTTCCATTTAATTTCTGACAGTTTTTACATTTATTTGGTGTCTTATGCACTTCAACTTTTACTTGTTCATTGTTGGCATGTGCTGCCCTTCCTCGTCAGCTCCCCTCCCCAAGAGGTCTCATTGTACAGTGCCCATTCCTGTTTCACTCTCTTCTCTCTTTCTCTCTCTGTTTGGATGTACTGTTCTGTGTAACTCAGTAGGTCTCCTTCTTTCTGGTTTGTTTTTTTCTAGATTCCTGCCGTTTGTTCATCGTTGTGCCTAAAGCATGTCGATGTGGCGTTCAAGTACATCGTCCAAATCCTTGTCTCTTCAGCTTCTCTGATGCTTGAACTCTCACCCTTTGACCTTGTGTTGACTTTTGATGCTGATGTGTATTTTATTATGTTTGTTTCTTCTTTTTTTTCCTTCTTTTTTTTTGTGCTGCCAAATTGGTTTTGCTAGAAAGACTGCTGATGGGGAATATTTAAACTTGCATTTGAATATAAAAGAATTCTATTTTTCTAGAACTTCATAAGATAACCACTTGATTTTGTGATTCTGATTCTTTGTAATTGTCTTCAGAGCAGCCTTGCTAGCATACCTCGTGGAGTATTTGTATTTCTGTGAACATACAGCCAATCACTTTCTAGGCTTAGTTTTTTCTGTGTGCTTAGTTTCAACAAAAACCTTTGAAGGAAAAAGTAAAAGGATGCAACTCAAAGCTTTCAGGAGGCTTCTGGTCACATTTTGCTGAACCTACTTGCCATGCTTGAGAAGAGAGCATGCGTTCTTTGACTTGAGTAGCTTCAGCAGAAAACACTTGAACTACACTTTTTCCTGATTGTAGCTGCATTTTTGCCCTGGCACTTAACCGCTTTTTCCTTCCTGTGTGATTATCAGCCTTTGTCTGCAGTGAGAATTTAATCAAAGTTGGTGTTGTATTTTGTTAAACCTTTGCATGCTTAGTTTTTTGTAACTACAATCTCCTCAACAAAATGTGAGTTTTTCTTTTTGTTTTGTTTTTTTTTCTTTTAAAATTTCAAATAATGCCCCTGTAAATGTTTTGCATGTTTCCTGCTGTGTTCTTCACAATCCTGTATATATACACCCTTCACCTCTGTTTTCTATAGTTGGTGCAAAAACTGAGCAATTTATTAGGTTTCAAAGCTGTCCTTTTTTTGGGATGCCAGACTTGTGATCATATGTCATGGAAGGACATCTCCTGTGCATTTAGACTGCTTTACACAGTATCTGCACCTTGCTCTATTATCACAGCTATGGAAAGGTCTCAGGGGCTTGATTGCACTGTTCAGATGGTCATGGTGGCAGCGGCAGGGATACAAGTTTAACAGAAAGATGTGGGATGTTTGCGTAATACTGCTTCTGAAATCCTTTGGAGCTCAGGCTCCTTTGGGTTAGCCTTAATTTGTACCTCTTGTTTAATATGCGACTTGCTTTGTGAAATTTTAACACCACTAACTCTCAGTGAATGGAAGCTTGATTGCTCTCCAGTTCTTACACTTGAAATAGCATGTCGTATATATCCCATAGAAGGAATCTGTAAGCCTAGGCACAAAACTGCTGGCTCTTTCTCCAAGTGACAAGCACAATATAACAGCACGTTGGCTGTTACCTGAACAGGGTACCAACCCCGGCTCCTTTTCTCAGGGGCCTTAGCTGGGGGAATCTCCTCTGTGGAGAATTTTTTTAAAAAAAAAAAGTTTTGTTCTTTAATTGGGTTAGGAGACGTGCAGTTTTCTTTCTTCTTTCTTTCTTTCTTTTTTTTTTTCTGGCCTGATGAAGAAAAACAGGACAGATTATCCTTCTCTGGGAAACATGCTTCAGCTTTGCTGCACATATGATCTGCTTTAGAAGCTGAGATATAGTCCAGGACTTCACAGCACCTTGCAAAAAGTCCTGTGGTAGGTGCCTAAGCACAAGAGGCAACGGGGTGGAGGAGAAGCTATGAAGGAATTTTAACAGGAGGAAGGAATGTGAAACAAAACATTTGGAGAGTGGAAACATCTAAGAGATCTATCTAGGCCTTAGGAAGCTTTCACTCTGTTGTTGGCAAACACCAGCTGCCAACTCTCTTGCTGGATGGGTCATCTCTCTCCGTACTTGCTTTTCTCTCAACCTTGTGATCAGCATCTCTAAGGATGAGAGTGACTTGAAAGGGGATATCATTGTGTTATTTGGGGTACAGCTGTGAGATGATTGACCTTGGGCTCACAGTCACAATGCACAGGGGTGTCTGATGGCGGGGAAGTCAAGGCCTTGCAGTGTATTAATTAATTTTGCCAATACATTTCTTTATAATGTGCATACTGTTTCATGAGAAACTCTGGAGAATCCTGTGGTAAAAAAAAATCTCCGGAGAAAACCAAAATGCCAAACATTAGATGTTCCTTTCCTTTCTTTCCTTTGATTGTTTTAATAATTCTGTGGTGGTTTTAATGGAATTGAGACAGTAAAGCAGCAGCTGCCTTTTATTTCTAGCTGCTTTTTGTGAATAATTAAAAAAAAGAAAATTTACATTTTGGAAAAAAAAACCTGTGGGCTTTTTTATTGGTACAAACATTGTATTTAACACTAGGGGTTTTGTACAGTTTTTTGCCTTTTCTACTAGAAAACAATGTAAAGTGATTCACAAATGTGACAAGAAAACAAATTGCCACTATGACCAAATGTAGAATCTGTTCTGCAGTTTAACAGGATTTAATCAACTCAAAGTCGTGATTCTGTTGTAGCAATGCTTTTCTTTACCCTGTTTGAACTGTTCCTTTTTCTTGTTTGATTTGCAAAACAAAATGTCTTTTTTGTGTGAAATTGTGTTGTACTCTGTAGAAAATTATGGATTTTACTTTAGTGGTTAAAAAAGAAGCACATGTTGCTTTTCTGATCACGGAGTTTGTGTAGTGGATTTAAAAATGAAAGTTTTGTTACAAGTTTGGAACGAGCGAGTATGTATTAAGGAATTTTCTTCCTTTTGTGTGTGGTTTCTTTTTGTCCCACTGGGGAACTTAAAGCTGTTTTAATTGCACAGACACACAGACAAGAAGTCATTTTGTATATGCCAAGTGTGGTATCTCCCTTTGTTTATTTGCTATTAAACTGTTTGAGAAGAAATTTTGTGTCATCCTTGTATTTACTTATACAGAACAGGCAAATTGGTATCCGGGTATTTGAAAAAAGGGTTGCTTAGTCTAAATGTATGAGGAATATATACATCATTTTTTCTGTCACTGGCATGCTGCTTCCCCAAACACAAAGCTCACCTTTCCCCCCCCCCCTCTCTTAATTTAAATTATTTTTCTGAGGATTTTACTTTAAGGTTTACTTTCTTTCTACACTTGATGTAAATTGGCTGGGCCCAGATCAGTTTCATCAAAGATTTTTCTGGTAGCTAGTATATGAAATATAAATATACACATGAGGAATAATTTATTATAGAAAAGTGCTTCTCCATTCAGTTTTTTTCTGGTAAGTTTATCTTGTTTAAATCACCTTGAGTAAGCTGCCATATTTTTTACAGCATAAAAATAATATAAGTAATTTGATAGATTCTTTCTCCTAATTCCTGCAACTATATTTGCGTCTTTTAAGTGCCCTTCCTATTATAACTTTATTATAGGTATTTATATTGAATATAGATTATAATTATTTGTACTACAAGCAAATAAATCTTAAGGCCTATATTGCAGAATATAGTTCCTTAAAATTGTTTTTACTTTTTACCAAATAAAGGAAGCAAAATCCTACAAGATAAGATAATGACATTTAAGCAGAAATTAATTTAAAAGTCAGCTAACTGGAATTTTTTTTTTTTAACTTTTATCTTCTAATAAGCACTAAATCCTATCACCTTATAATTACCAAAATAATAATTGTTTGGATTCCTCCTTGGATCAAGTTAAAATGAGAAAGGTGTCATATTTGTTCTTACAATAACTTTTTATGAGTGTGCATGAACCATTTCTGCAATTTTTTTTCCTGCTAGAATAATCCCTATAAATGAGTTTGGAAACGTTTTAAATTTTTTAATTTCAAATGTATCGGGTGAGTATTTAGTCATCAGTCAACAGCCATCTGTTGGATCATAACAAAATTCTGCATCACCTGTTTTGTGGTACATTAAACAGCAGAAGGTTGAAAAGTTATTTTGAAATCATTTGTAAGCGTGAGTGGAAACTGAGGAAACACTTGAACAATCAATTTGACATTGATAAAAGATTATTACAAACATAGTTCTTATAAGTTCATACTAAAGTGAAACCAATGTTGAATGAGGTTAAGAACTGTGTAAGAAAAGCCTCTGGAGTGCTATTGGTTTCTTATCTTCCCCCAACTAAATGTTTAAAAAAACTAATCAATCTTTAGATAAACCATACAACTTCAGTCAATCAAAGACACAGTTCAAGATTTCATGCTGTATTTTTGAATAAAAGGTGATGCTCAGACAAAGCCAGCATAGGAACACAGATCCCTTAAAACATAATATGGTTATTAAATGTACTTTTATAGTTTTTAGTTCCAGCCTGATCTAGATGCTTGAATTCTAATAAACAATTTTTAAGAATTAAAAATTTGATTCCATTGAAATCCCAGCACCACTATAAGTATTTATCATATTCTGAGATGAATAATTTTCCATGTGGTTCAATTGGCATTAAGAATGTAGACAGGGATGTATCTGATTTGGAATCGGATCTCATACATTTTATAAGTATTTACATAGCTACTAAATTCCATCTCTTCCCAAAGTTTTTATTAGCTACTATTGCCATCATGTGTAAAAAAAAAATCATATGGCATTTTATCACATACTAACTCTAGCCTGGTCCTCACTTGCAACAAAATGAGATAACAGTGAATTGAACTGCAGGTGAAGGAATTTCTGGTTTTTAATTCTATTCCAAATTAAATGAAGTTGGTTACAGTATAATTTTTATGGAATACTACCTTTTTAATACAGAGAAGTATTGAAAATAGATTATTTCTAATCTGGGATGTAATCTCATGCTGTATGCCTAGAGTAATTAAAAGCATTTCTAAGTAGATTATATTAGAATTAAATGTTTAAAGTAGGCAAATTTCACATTTCTAATTGGCTCTGAGGGTTGAGCTGTATAATGCAGGGTTGTCAAACTGTCGGTCCACAGGCCGGGCACGTCATTGCCGGCAATGGTGAAAAGGCTCCGATACGTTGTGCGATGTCACGTGACATCACGAGTTTGACATGTTTGATATAATGCAAGGTAATAATAAGAAATTCCAAGAGAAATTTTTTTCTCTCTAGTCTCAAAAATAAAACATTGCAGTGGCAGTTTTAGAGTATTGTCTTACATAGGTGTCATTAACTGTCTTAGCACCTCTACAGCTACTGATGTTTGAAACGAAAAGGAACTTGGATTGCCAGCTGACATATAAACTAGCTTGATATGCAGAATTTTTTAAATCACATTCAGGTGATGTTAACTTGATTCCTGCAGGTAAGCTGCTCTTCCAATACACTGCAGAAAAAGTTAATACAAAGTTGAAAATACAGCATTATCACTAACATTTGTGCATAAATTAGATACCATAAATCCGATTTTCAGTCTGACTCAATTGGGAATTCTATATTACTGTCAAGTAAACCTTCTGTCTCCCAGTATCAGTCTTTCCAATGTACTGGGACTGCTTTAACAAATTTGGAAGGGTGATATCCAATAAAATGATACGTGTATTTACATTATTTCCATGCTGCCCCAGATACAGACTCTGAGTGACTCACTATAAAAATAGAGAAACACATAAAGCAGCATTTCAGCATAAAATCCAATAAAGTTAAAATTACAACAACTGCATAAATATATTGTAGATGTTGAGAAATGCCCAAGCAGGAAGGACTTACGCTGGGGGTTAGCCTTGAATTGTTGCAGAGCCACAAAAGAACCAGAACTGACACCACTACCCTCCTCCCAGGCTCCGTAGAACTTTATCTATCAGTTCCCAAGAGAAGGCAAGCAATCTGGGAAGATTCCTGTATAATAGGCAGAATGTAATAAAGTAGTTAGCTTGAACTCTACATGTGTGGACCTAGCTGCTTGTGCCTGACAGACATTGTGTCTTAACAACCTACACTTTGTAAATCTGGCAGAGAAGGATCCCATTCCTCAAAAAATGGTTCAATTATGCTTCACCCCAAGCCAATAGATGACCTTTCATAGTTGTTTCCTATAATGTTAACTGGAAAAGAGACAAACCCTGCGGTATCTTAGACGGGTGGTCAGGTACTTAACCTCTCGTTCCTCCAGCATTCCTGATAAGGCCCCATTTTGTTAGGAAGAAATAGCACCATTTTGTTTTAAAAGCAAATATATATATATCAGGGGTGTCAAACTGGTGGCCTGCAGGCTGGATGTGTCATGCGCAGGCCACGCTCACCCCGGCTCCGCAAAGGTAAAAAAACGTATTTCATGATACGTCACGTGACGCAATCAAGTTTTACACCCGTGATATATATTATTAAACATTGTCCAACACTGCTAGTTCAACTGATGATTTCAGGAAGAAGTGCATCACAACTTCCTTACAGGTTGTTGGTATGACTCCCCTTTTTCTAAGCATTTACTACTCCTAAAATGCAGTTGCCTGTTCTTTTCTCTGGTATCTTCAATAAACTCCCAAGGAGGCTGAGCTAACACAATGTAAAGCTGTCCATTTCCTTGGCTTCAACAGGTTCAAAAGAGTGCCAGGTGACTTCACAAGAGATTGCCTCAGTCACTTCATTGTTTTCTGCCCGTGATGTATCCAATTTACATGAGCAATTTTATCCAGAAAATGCCTAGCAAACAAGTCACAGTGGCTTGTAGATCTGCTGGTAGATTCAAAGATACTGTAAGAATATTACTTTGTTTCATTCTAATCCCTTCCACTCCAAGTGTCAATGTTTTTTATTTCTGCTTAGTTCCCTTTTCATTTTTTCCTTTACGCTTCCATGTTTCATATATTCCTATGTTCATTTCTGCACATTCTGTTCCCCCAAGAAAACAGAAATAGCAATGAAGTATCCATAAATTATCTAGCTTCTCACAGCCTCTTGCATTCTGAAAATAATGTTCTTTGGGCTCACATTTTCAGAAAAAGCTGATTGCAGTTCAGCCATTGGAATAAATGCTGTCTTAAGGAAATGGCATACTTTTTTTTTCTTTCACATTATAGAGTAAGATACACCATGCTAGGATGGGGTTTTAGGATGACTGTCAAGTCACTGGCAGGTGACTTGACACAGAGAACAGCGGAAATACTTAGCTAGAATAATGAAAATTGACAAGCAGCAGTTCTTCAGCTATTCCTCTTTCTTCCCCCAATCCTTGGTTGCCAAGAAACAGCCTGCTTTCTTCTCTCTCTCTCTCAAACCGTTCTTGATTTATCTCTGTCATGGTCTCCCAAAAGTAGTTTCTTAGCTAAAAAATCTCCCAGTGGTTGCAACTTCCCTTGTAAGGTAGATAGAACAATCTCCTGGTTGTTTTGACTGTTCCTTTTTGCATTTTTATCAGTCATATAGCATTCCTTTTTAAAAAAAATCCAGTTGTCAAAACTGAAACAAAATACTGTACGTAAAAGGCTTGTTTCTAGCTCTATCTAGTGGTCATCCCACTAGAAATAATTCTAGTGAATAATGTTTTTTCTGTTAATTGATTGAGGAAAAGCTTTTTCGTTTTCAAGCTCTGAAAGTTCAGCTCCAACTTCCTTCATTTTGCGTTTGCCACTGTACAACAACTCGTTGAAGAAAGGCTCCATTTGCCCTCTCTGATGTATTTATATAAAGGCAGCGTAGAGGGAAGGAGATTGGTTGCTCAGGCTTGCTTTCTGACCTTGGGGGTTACCAAGTCTGACATTCCTGTGAGATCACATGACAAGGATTGGCGGGCACAGCTGTCCCCAATGGAAGGGAGGGGCTCGGGAGGGGCCATTCCGATTGAATTTCACTCCAGCCACTTAGGCTCTTTCCTTCTTTCCTGGCTGTGCTTTTCTTGTCTTCCACTTTCTTTGTGACTTGGGTTGTAGAAAAGCTCTGATAGGATAGCAGCACCGAGGATGCTATTCTAGACGATCAGGGTGGTTGCTTCAACATTTGGGTGGGCCTTTCTTCCCATCTCCGATGGACATTCCTCCAGGCTGAGCCATCTGAGATCCTGGTGGGCCCCCTGCTTTGGCACCAAGCAGTCCATCCTCTTGTTTGAGCACCAACTTCACTGTCACCGTTTCTTTTAGCCCATCTATACAGCCACTCTGACAGGTCTGCTGCTCTTCCGACAAGTTGGTATATGCAGCTCCAGAGCACGAAGGCAATGGGACAGGACCAGACAAAGCAGCAGATAGAAAAAGGACTCCAGCTGTATCAGTCCAGTCAGACAGAAAAGGCCCTTCAAGTCTGGCTGCGGGTTTTGGAAAAGAGCACAGATCCAGCTGGCAGGTTTCGAGTCCTCGGTTGCCTCATCACTGCTCACTCGGAGATGGGCAGGTACAAAGATATGTTAAAGGTAAAACATTCTGATTGGCTGCGTGTCTTTTTCTCTTACTATGTTACAGACAGGGTGGTGGATAGAAAAGTAGGGCTCCAGATTACAGTTCGGCCACACTCAAACAGCAAGTGTAGCACTGGTTAAAATTGCAGATACTGACAAATTTTTACCTTTGAAAATTGCCATTCTGCATTTCCACCTGCAGTCCTAGACCTAATGAGCAATTTACATGTTTCTTATCTACAGAATTAAGTAATGATGGGTGTTAACAATGTTAGCCATTTGCATGCCTACCTGAGGGTTGTGTGGTTTTGCAAAAAAGCTGAGACGCGGGATGCTGTGGCGCACCTTTGTTTCGCAGAATTATCAGCTGTATAAGATAACTGTAGGTTAAACAATATGTGTATGTGCACATGTGTGTACACAAACACACGTGCACACAAAGTTTGTACTGTGATGGCTAGAGAAGGTATGTTTCCAAATGGCACATCACTAGATTTTTTTCAGTATTATTTATTTGAATGGAACGTTCTCTCTTTTTTTTTTTCTGTTCAAATCACTACTGTCAAACTGTGATGGTTGTCCGCCTAGAAGCTGCCCAGATTGCTTTTCAGAGTGAGATGGGCAGCATATACATCTAATAAATAAACAAATTCACTGAGACATTGTTTTCTTTTAAATGTTGCTTTGGAAGATCTTAAGTTTAAGATCTAACTTTTGGGGAAATACTGTGGAAATCTTTCATCATTTTCATTATACATGGCCTTGATTCCAAAAGTCCTTTCTTTTTAATTATTATTTCTGCTTGAGGGGTGAGAAGGGTTTTTATGAGGCAATCCAGAGAGCCATGGCTGAAATGAGATGCGAATTAGGATTTTCCTAATCTCTTGCAGATGCAACTTTAGATTTTCTGGAAAACAGGAAAAAGAAACCTGTGGAAAATCTCAGTATTGTAGTACTGAGCTAGAACCCTGAACCCCCATTGGTGTTTTACTGGTAGTCCTCAGCTTATAACAATTCATTTAGTGACCATTTAAAGTTACAACAGCATTGAAAAAATAACTTAGACTTTTTCACACAACCATTGCGGCATCCCCAATGGTCACGTGATCAAAGTTGAGATGCTTGGCAACCAACTCATATTGAGGACCGTTGCTGTGTCCCAAGGTCCTGTGATCACCTTTTGCAACCTTCTGACAAGCAAAGTCAATGGGAAAGCCAGATTCACTTAACAATCGTGTTACTGACTCGGCAACTGCAGTCTTTCAGTTAACAACTGTGGAAGAAAGGTTGTAAAATGGGGCAAAATTCACTTAACCAATGTCTCAGTTTGGGCTCAGTTGTGGTCGTAAATCAAGGACCATCTGTAGTTGCAGTTTAGAAACATCCCCATATTTGGTTAAAAGTTATATAGGCTACTATATGTATACTGTACAATATGGGTTGTAAATGGTTTTAAGAAGCTTATTAAGGGATCGAGACTGATAAGCCCGTGGGCTTTCAGTTAAGGAACATTTGTGTTAATGGGCCCCTTGACGAAAACATTTAGGAACAGTATTTCTTGCAGATGTAGTAACAACTAGGTTGTAGAACAGGGTTTTAGGATTTACATATACATTCAAATGGGATCTATAAACAGTAAGCAAAGGAGAGATGTACAACTATTTTTGGAGGGGCTGATTAGAGATTTCTAATGTTAATTTTTCAATTTATGGGAAGATTTTTTTAAACTAGCCGTGAGAGATCATGCATAGAACAAAAGAATAGAGTATTGTTTGAACGGTGAATACCATATGCTGATTGGATGACAAAAAAAAAACCACATTATTTTATAAGAAAAGAGTTCATCCATCCATGTGTATTTTGAGGAGCATCCTGGATTGCAAATTTGCATTATCAAGCTAACTTTCAGGCAAGTGTTTAAAATCCTCCACTCTCTTTGTTAATAAGATGTTACAAAAAGCTGGGGGAGAAGAATAAAAAGATTTAATGTTGAAGTCAGTATATCTGCATGTTCATAAAATGTAAGTTCCGAAGTTCCATCTTCGCAGTAGTTTGAACCTGATATGATGATCTGACTCCTCTCAAAACTGTTAGGATAAAGTCCATGGATGGCACTCTTAAAAATATAATATGCAAGTAGATATTGTTTCAGGTGCATTGAAGGGGACTGTATATATTCAGAATATCTATACAGCTTTTATAAGATTTAAATTGGTAACATATTAAAGTAAACAGGTTAAATGGGATTGAAGGAGAAAAATCTATTGGGATCTTAAACGGATTTTCTGATTATTATAATTTATTTTTATCCTTATTTCCTCCAAAGTGTTCAAGTGAAATTTGTTCTGTGAACTCCATTGCCAGTTGAGTATTTCAGTCCATATCTGCACAATTCTGGTATAACAGTACTTTCTGTGCTGAATTAGCTCTTTAGTCCATTCTGGCAGACAGTTGTGATTTCATCACAGACAATTGCTTAGTAGTGCTATGGGAAGCGTTTGAAAGAGGCCCTTCGCAAAGCACATTCCAAAGAATATGGCTCGTTCAACACTCTGCACACAGGTATCCTACTAGTACTAACTCATATGCAAAAATGCCTGTTTCAAATGCTTTGCACAACCCTAATGTTCAGTAATTGGTTTACAAAATACATTTTATCTTTGGGGTTAAAGGGCTTGTTCAGGCAGTTGCCACAAAACAGCACTAATTCAGAAACACATACATACATACAAACATACATACAAGATAGCGGCACTAACTGTAAATCACCCCGAGTGCTAAGGCAAGAACAGATCAGCGAGAAACTGACTATGATATGAAAGGAGATGATATGGAATTAGAAGGCCTGTAGGAAAGAAAATAAAATATGGTTTGAGTATGCAAATATATAAGGCTTTACTTTAATCGGTAAAGGATATTAGGAAAGAGAAGAAATTGCATTTTCTTCTGTGCTATGAGAATAAGAGTTAAATAGTACTTCAGAAATACTGTACAACAGACCTCTTTTCATATGATTTCCCCTTTGTCTTCGAAACAAACTGTTCATCAGGGTTAGAGATGTCTAGAGGAAGGAGCTTCTTCTAAACCTTCTCCACTCAGGACAGCATTTCATTTTTCTGCCAGAAGTTAACTGAAGACTGGTTTTAAAAGCATTTTATTGTTTATACCAAAAGAGAGACTCCTCAATATCCGGATGCTGTGGAAGTAGTTTTGTCTAGCATGAATATCAGGCATCTGCAGTCCAGATGCATTTAATCTCTTTCTTGATCATGTGCAGAGAAACAAAATCACCAGGATTGGCTTTGCACAAGACTCTGTAAAAACACATCAATAGGAAATAATAACAAGTTATTTAATGTAATAGATTGCATTATAGTTGTTTAGCTTGCTTACACCGTTTTCTTTTTATCATTTCTAAACTTCATTTAAGTAAAAAAAAAGACCATATCCTTTTCCTTTTTTTCTATGGATTTTTTAAATTAAAAATTAGATGGTTTTTTTATCAAAAGCATGTGCAAATAGGATACCATATTCTTTAGAATTTGACTGCTTTCCTGAGCCACCATTTTGCACATGGCACTATTTGGTGGAGCTTAACTTTATAGCAAAAACCAAGGTAGTTTTGTAGCCCTGAGCCTTGTCTGCCACAGAGTAGGTCCAAATTGTCAACTCCAGTCTTGATATGATTAATGTGAATTCATTATGGTTGGTAAAAGTGTCACAATTAGCCAGTTTGATTAGAGAGAGATTAATAATTACATTTATCAATGACTGGAAACCCCCTTTGAACCTTTTGCTGAAAAAAACTGAACTTATGTCTTACAGGTTTATGGATAGCTTAGGGAAAGAAGGAAATTATGAAGTAACCTTAGAGAAAAAAGTGTAAAATATAAATGTATTTATAACTGCTGCCCAAAAGATCAGAAGCCACTTCTTTATAATATTTCTTTTTCTATTTTCTTTTACTTATTCACTATTCTTTGTTATTTTGTTTCTTTTTTAATGCCTGCATCTTGTTAAAAAATTCATCAATAAAATTACACAAATTCATTATGACTGAAGTTTAGGATTAGATGTGTTGATTCTTAAGTATTGTGTTCTTTTGCTAAAAGTTTGCAGTCATGCAGATTGACACTGCCCGAGAACTGGAGGATCCTGACTACCTTACTGAGAGCTACCTGAATTTGGCACGGAGCAACGAGAAGCTCTGTGAATTCCCCAAAACTATCTCCTATTGTAAGACTTGCCTGAACATGCGAGGTACAACACTGGGCCTGCAACTGAATGGCCAAGTCAACCTCAGCATGGGCAATGCCTACTTTGGCCTCAGTGTCTTCCAAAAAGCTCTGGAGTGTTTTGAGAAAGCTCTACGGTACGCACACAACAATGATGACAAGATGCTGGAGTGTCGCGTCTGTTGCAGTCTAGGAAATTTCTACACACACCTCAAAGTGAGTATTGCAGAAATGCCAATGGAAGAGAATGTAGATCAGAAGTTTAAAAAAATGCAACTTTTCCAACTATGTGAAAGATTGTACAGATGGTAGATTGAGTGCAGTGGTTTCCACCTGTTTTCTGTGAACCCTAACTTCGTGATCTGAAGCTTGTCAGGACCATCACATAAATCAGAGCTCAAGTATATGCCACATACATGACTCCTCTAAAATGGTATCTATGGGATGTCAACATTAAATAAAAAATAATGTTTTGTTTAGGTGAGGCCCGAAATCTTGCAAATTTGCTTAGTTTCTCAACTTTTTAGAATTATGAGCTAAAATCTTGAGACATTAGGGAAAACATACCAAAATATTACATGGTTTTGTAATATTGTGGAATTTTGGCTATTCAGTGCTCACACAAGGTCCTAGATACAACCCTTTGTAATATCCTGCCTCAGTGAAACTATTGTTTCAACTCATATATTTAGATGGTGAAAATCTTCCAGAAAAAGTTGTTGTATCACAAACTGCCATTTGTGGACATGGGTATTATTTATTTGTCAGAAAAATGTTGATTAGCTAATCGAAAAACTTAAATAGTCTTTTTTATACATTTTGGCCATCTAATTTTATCATTCTATTTTATTAAAGTCTATTTATTTTTGGATATCATGAAACAAAAAAAACACTGAGAAATCACAGTATGTACCAGTAATATTTTTCAACAGTCTAACAATAAATGAAAGAAAGGAAAAAGCCTTTCTGCTAATTTCAAGGATTTAATCACACAATCATTTTCATAATATAACTTAAGGTGGAATCACACAATATGTTATCTGCTATCACATGCAAAGTATTCTATGTTAATGCTTATAGATTCATTTGTGAGAAAAGATTATCAAATGTATAACTTAATATCTATTATATATTGAAGTATGTAAAGCTCTTGAACAGTAATATTTATTTTGATAATGTTTTCAACATGAAAGTTAAAGCATTTTGCTATTTCTAGGAAAATACATACTATCAGTTTTAACATTGCTTATTTTGGTGTAAATTTGGACAAGTTTACTTACAATAATCATTTTTCAATCTTCTCACTGTGAACTCAAATGAAGTGCGAGGACAAGCCTTATCTTAACAAAGACTTCGGATATATAGACTATAGTTTTACTACTTAGTGGAAACTTGCCATATTAAACTCTCATTATGTATTTCACAATGTGTACATGTATAATGCACGTGTTTACAGTACTATCACCAATTCATTTTTTTTAACCAGAAAAATATAATTAATGTGGTAATCTTACAGTATATTCCAAAGAGCTCACCATTCCAAATTCCATACTGGGTGCTTCTTGTAAAAGCGGGTTGAAACCATGGCTATTTTCACCATAATTTTTAAATCAATCAATCTAGGTTACAAATTATCATAAACCTTATTATGTCATAAACCTTATTTACATCCCACAGTTTACCATAGAAAAATCAGAATCAATCAAAACAGCTTAAAAGATTTCATAACTTCAAACAATCATAGCTTTTCTGCAGCCTTTCTTTTTCTTTCTTCTCAATCTCACTCCTCTTTTCAAGGACCATGAAAAAGCTCTGTTTTTCCCATGCAAGGCAGCAGAGCTGGTGAATGATTATGGAAAAGGCTGGAGTTTGAAGTACCGAGCCATGAGCCAGTTCTACATGGCTGTAGCCTATCGGAAGCTGGGGCGCTTGCCAGATGCTATGGAATGCTGTGAGGTACAAGCATGGCTTCTTGGAGTGTGTGTGTGTGGGGGGAGTCTGCTGGGTAAAATTAAAGGGCTATCCAGTTTGGGAGGGTATGTCAGTTGCATCACTTTCTGAGGAAGGCAGATTTGACCACTCTGAGTCATACTTTAATAACTTTTTTTGTTTAGACTATTGCAGCAAACTGATTAGTTCTTGGTGTGTTTTGTTGGCCATACTACAGCCATCTTGCAGCAACTGCCAATTCAAGTTGTTTTTGGTTATGAAGCCCCGGTGTGGGGCAAAAAAGTTGAAAGCCATCTTTATAAGTATCAGTACACACCACTATTTTTATAAGAACACAGATTCTTTCCTTTGGTGAAAGAAAGTGGCTTTTGAATTGCAAAGGAACCCAATAAAACTCCAAAGCAATGGCAAAGTATTTTTGACTGTTTGAGGAAGATCCAAACTGCATAAACTACCTCTTCCTTCAGTCATTTATTTTGTTGAAAGAAGGGATGCTGTCTTTAATGTGGGTTGCAAACAGGACAAGACACCCCTTTTCCTTCACTCAGGCACCCGTTTCTTAGAATAGTCAGAATTTAGAACTTAATATGTGATAAAAGTTCAAATTGTGATTCTGAAAGCTTATCTTGCTAGGAGTCAATGAAGATTGCCCTTCAGCATGGAGATCGTCCTTTGCAAGCACAGTGCCTGCTTTGCTTTGCTGATATCCATCGCAGCCGTGAAGATGTACAGGTATGACCCTCTCCTATGACAGGCTGTCTGAGGGCAGTAGTGGACAGCGACTGACAACCTTTTCTTACAACCCAGGCAGCTTTTCCCCGCTATGATTCCTCCATGAGCATCATGACTGAGATTGGAAACCGTCTGGGACAAGTTCAGGTGTTGCTTGGTGTAGCCAAGTGCTGGCTGATTCAAAAGGACCTCGACAAGGTCAGTAATAGGCTGTATAAGAAACTGATTAGATACAGTTGCATTGTTATGAACCAACAAAATAGGCTCTAAAAATGCATGATGTTTTTTCCTATGGACAGTCTTTCGATCCACATAGTAACATCCATACTGAGGAAATGAGTATTCAGCATGTATTTTAGGCTGTTTATCTAATGTACCTTTTGATCTGCAAGATGAATACACTAGGTGTGTGACAGTTATTTCTAAGCAGTTAAATAAATGGAGTAGCTGGGATTCATCATGGATTACCTTAGGATTCACTTGTTGTAGTTGAGCATCTAGAAATGATCAACTGAAAATTGTTTCTCCATAAGATATGCTGCCCCCAGAAGTATATATGCTGTTTTCCTTATGACATTGCGGAAGACACTAAAAAACATTGGTTATAAGCAGGGTTTAGGCCCAGAATTAGAACCTGTGGGCTACCCAGCTAGCTTTATGGCTAAGTTGTTTTTATATGGGTGAAGAACATTATGAACCTTTATTAGGTTAATTAACTATGGTTTGTATACTGCCCAGAGTCTACTGATAGAATATATATAAATATAAACAGTTATGTATAATTTGGGTACCATGAAATCTCGACTCTTGGCAATTTCATAAACATTGGCAGTTTTCTTGGGAAACATTGTGGAAGTAGTTTGACATTTTTTCTTCCAGGGTGTTTTTCAAATTCCTAGGGCTGACTCTCAGGTCTAGGGCTGAGAGTGACTGACACTAAATGATCTATCTGGCCTCTATTCCTGTGAGACAATGAAAACTTGCTGTCTTCCTGCTCTTAGTCCAGTGTCTTTAATTACTGCAGCAAACTGATTTGTGTGTGTTTGTGTACGTGTGTATGTGTGTATGTGTATATGTATATATGTGTATGTATTTTTATAGAGTATATACACAAATAGTTTTGAATATGCATAGTATGTAGCTATTATAAAATAAAGGGAGTAAATGTTTCCTAATATTATCTAGACTTCCAGGGATTAGGTTAATGCAGTTTTCCCTATCTTGGCACCCTCAGGTACTTATCATAGATTCAAGCAACAAGGTCTTCAGAACCACCACGTATTTCAAGACATCATCTTGCATACTTTGGCACCTCACTCCCCTCACCTATAAATACTTCATGGCATGGGGCCTGATTACTTGATGGACTATAGTTTTTGCTTGTCCTATACAATTGGACTGACAATCCAAATTCCTTTGGTTAAACAATGTCGTATATCAGGACCCAGGAAGCATACCTTTTTTGTTGTAGCACTTTACTCTTAAATAGCATCCCTCCTTAGACCTGCATGGCTCCTGCCCTGATGATGCCCTAGATTTCATGTGTCTGGGTTTTTTTTCCGGGATGCACATGATTTCTATTCATACTGTTTTATTGTTGTATTATCTTTTAACGTTGTAAGCTGCCCTAAGTCTTATGGAGTTGACTCAAATACATATATGTTCTGCTTTCTATAGGCATTAGAAAATATCGAGAGGGCTCATGAGCTGGCAGAGGGACTAGGAAACAAAGTAAGTTGTCTCATCTGCATTTTTTTTTACTCTAGTCATGTTCTTTGTAATGTGTGCGAATATATGTATGTCATAATTCTGCCTGATAACAGACCTCCAAGGTTTTGAAAATGTACTTACATGCCCAAATATTATGTTGAATCATTGTTGTTGTTGTTGTTAATTGCGAAGTCGTGTCCGACCCATCGCGACCCCATGGACAACGTTCCTCCAGGTCTTCCTGTCCTCTACCATCTTCTGGAGTCCATTTAAGTTCACACCTACTGCTTCAGTGACTCCATCCAGCCATCTCCCCTCAACCTTTGAAGGAAGCGGTGGTGAGGCCCCTCCTCAAGAAGCCTTCCCTGGACCTAGCTGTTTTGAAGAACTTTCGTCCTGTCTCCAACCTCCCCTTTGTGGGGAAGGTTGTAGAGAAGGTGGTGGCGTCCCAACTCTTGCGATCCTTGGATTTATTATTATTATTATTTATTATTTATTTTATTTTTAAAATTTATAAGCCGCCCCACTCCCGAAGGACTCTGGGCGGCTAACAATAAAAGACACATAAAACATAACAAAACAACAATACAAAAACAATCATCCAGGGGTAAGGTTTTATAAACCCCAGGCCTGCCGGAAAATCCAGGTCTTAAGTAGCTTACGGAAGACCAACAGGGTGGGAGCGGTCCTAATCTCCAGGGGGAGCTGATTCCAAAGCGTGGGCGCCATCACAGAGAAGGCCCTCCTCCGCGGCCCCGCCAAATGGCACTGCTTGGCCGACGGGGCCTGAAGGAGGCCCAGCCTGTGGGATCTAACCGGACGTAGGGAACTATGAGGTAGTAGGCGGTCTCGCAAATAACCTGGCCCTGAGCCATATAGGGCTTTAAAGGTAATGACCAACACCTTGAATTGGACCCGGAGACCAATAGGCAACCAGTGCAGCTCACGGAGGATAGATGTAACGTGGGTGTATCGAGGAGCACCCACTATCACTCGCGCGGCTGCATTCTGGACCAACTGTAGTCTCCGAATACTTTTCAAGGGTAGCCCCATGTAGAGCGCGTTGCAGTAGTCCAAACGTGAGGTGACAAGGGCGTGAGTGACTGTAAGGAGAGCCTCCCGGTCCAGGTAGGGTCGCAACTGGTGCAAGAGGCGAACTTATGCAAAACGAATTATCTGGACCCTTTTCAATCTGGTTTCAGGCCCGGCTACAGCACTGAGACTGCTTTGATCATACTGATGACCTCTGGCGAGCCCGGGATAGGGGTCATTCCTCTGTCTTGGTGCTTCTTGACTTCTCAGCGGCTTTCGATACCATCGACCATGGTATCCTTCTGCATCGTTTCAGAGAGGTGGGGGTGGGCGGCACCGTATTGCGGTGGTTCTCCTCCTACCTCTCTGACAGGTCGCAGTCGGTGTTGGCGGGCGGACAGAGATCGACCCCTAGGCACCTCGATTATGGGGTACCTCAGGGCTCGGTCCTGTCCCCCCTCCTTTTTAACATCTACATGAAACCGCTGGGTGAGATCATTCGGCGACACGGGGCGAGGTATCATCAGTATGCGGATGATACCCAATTGTATATCTCCAACCCGTGCCCTTTCAGTGAAGCAGTCAACGTGATGTGCCGGTGCCTGGAAGATGTGAGGGTCTGGATGGGGGTGAACAGGCTTAGACTCAACCCTGACAAGACCGAGTGGTTCTGGGTCTTGCCCCCCAAGGGTCATCCTGATGGTCCATCATTAGTCCGGGGGGGAGGTAAATTTACCTCCCTCAGTGCAGGCACGCAACTTGGGTGTCCTCCTGGACTCACAGCTAAATTTGGAACAACATCTATCAGCTGTGGCCAGGGGGACCTTTGCCCAGGTTCGCCTGGTGCACCAGTTGTGGCCTTATTTGGACCAGGAGGCTCTACTCACGGTCACTCATGCCCTTGTCACCTCAAGACTGGATTACTGTAATGCGCTCTACATGGGGCTACCCTTGAAGAACGTTCGGAGGCTGCAGTTGGTTCAGAATGCAGCCGCGAGAGCGATTGTGGGTGCACCAAGGTACACCCACGTGTCACCTATCCTCCGCGAGCTGCACTGGCTTCCTGTGGGTCTCCGGATGCAATTCAAGGTGTTGGTTATCACCTTTAAAGCCCTTCATGGCTTAGGACCAGGTTACTTACAGGACCACATACTGCCGCATAGTTCCCAGAGACCGGTGAGGTCCCACAGATTGGGCCTCCTTCAGGTCCCGTCGGCCAGACAATGTCGGCTGGCAGGCCCTCAGGGAAGGGCCTTTTCTGTGGTGGCTTCGACCTGGTGGAATCAACTTCCCCCCGAGATTCGAACTACTCCCACCTTGCCGGCCTTTAAGAAAGCCATTAAAACTCTCCTGTTCCAGCAGGCCTAGGGTTGATGTCCCTGGGGGGGCCGGGATACGATTGGGACATGCTGTATGAATGCAATTATTTTACTGTTTTATTGTTATATTTATTGTTTTAATTTTGTATGCCGTCCTGAGTCCCTAGGGATTGGGCGGCATATAAATTTTATTAATAAATAAATAAATAAATCTCATTCTCTGTCGTCCCCTTCTTCTATTGCCCTCAATCTTTCCCAGCATTAGGCTCTTCTCCAGTGAATCCTTCCTTCTCATTAGGTGGCCAAAGTACTTGAGTTTCAACTTTAGGATCTGGCCTTCTAAAGAGCAGTCGGGGTTGATCTCTTCTAGGACTGACCGGTTTGAATGCCTTGCAGTCCAAGGGACTCGCAGGAGTCTTCTCCAGCACCATAGTTCAAAGGCCTCAATTCTTTGGCGCTCAGACTTTCTTATGGTCCAACTTTCACAGCCATACATTGCAACTGGGAAAACCATGTCCTGGACTATACGCACTTTTGTTGGCAGGGTGATGTCTCTGCTTTTTAGTATGCTGTCTAGATTTGCCATAGCTTTCCTCCCCAGGAGCAAGCGTCTTTTATTTTCTTGGCTGCAGTCCCCATCTGAGGTGATCTTGGAGCCCAGAAAAATAAAATCTGTCACTACCTCCATTTCTTCCCCATCTATTTGCCAGGAATTGAGAGGGCCGGATGCCATGATTTTGGTTTTCTTAATGTTGAGTTTGAAGCCAACTTTTGCACTCTCCTTCTTCACCCGCATCAAGAGGCTCTTTAGTTCCTCTTCACTTTCTGCCTTATCCTAGGTTGTTGATATTTCTCCCGGCAATCTTAATTCCAACTTTTGTTTCATCTAGCCCTTCCTTTCTCATGATGTGCTCTGCATATAAGTTAAATAGGTAGGGCGACAGTAATACAGCCTTGCCGGACTCCTTTTCAGTGGTTCCGTGTCCAGTTCTCACTGTTGCTTCTTGACCCGCATATAGGTTTCTCAAGAGACAAATAAGATGGTCTGGTATTCCCATCTCTTTAAGAACTTGCCACAATTTGTTGTGATCCACACAATCAAAGGTTTTAGCATAGTCAATGAGTGTCATATCTTTTTGCCTTTTAGTACTGTCCATGGGGTTTTCATGGCAAAGATACTGGAGTGGTTTGCCATTTCCTTTTCCAGTGGATCACATTTTGTCAGAACTCTCTGCTATGACCTGTCAGTCTTGGGTGGCCCTGCACGGCATAGCTTATAGCTTCATTGAGTTACACAAGCCCCTTCGCCATGACAAGGCAGTAATCCATAAAGGGGGTTGAATTATTAATAACCCATTAATATCATGAGGGAGGGGTAAACAGTGATGGCCCATATTTGTGTTCCAATCCTTTAGACGTTGTTGATGAGATTCTGTCACTAATAGCTCTCTTGTGGGGGTTACATAGCAGAGTGTAAAGCTAGCATCAGATATTTTGATTCTGGGGTAATGGGGCATCTCCTAAAGTGGAATATGTGTAGCTCCTGACTTTTCTGAGTGGTAGGGTATTTAATTATGCTTTGGAAAGATGATGTTAGAAAAGACCATATCTTAACCCAAAGATCCTGAAACATTTTGAACCTATGGTTTTGGGGGTATCAGGGATAGCCACACAAAATTTCTTGCACTGAGAAATCCAAGCCTTAAACATTCTATATTGCTAGCATTATTCACGTGAAATTCTTCAGAAGGGGGAATTTTGCAGGGTATACAATTATGTAACTATGAAAAAAGAAGTGATTGCTGAATGTATAAGATAAAATGGTAAGCAAAGAGTGAAATCACCCATTTTTCCCCCAAAGTGCTATAGAGCAGTACAAATAGGAATGGTAAGAAGCACAATTTGGGAAGAGGAGGCAACAGATGGCCAAAGAAAAGAAGGATCTGTCTGACAGTTGGTGAGCTTCTGCTAAGTAAAATAAAAAGAAGCAGAAGGGATGGAAAAGAACATCACATTTCAAAAGCTTAAAAGATGCCATATTTTGGGTAATCAGGAACTAGGAATGTGTTGGGCCCATAGATTGCCTCCTTTGTAATATTCTTTTCATGTGATTATTTTTCTCTGTCTTCTCTTTTATGCAGCTCTGCCTGCTGAAAGTTCATTGCCTGTGTGAAGGGATCTATCGCACAAAGGGTCAGCAGAGGGAACTTCGTAATCATGTGGTGAAGTTCCATGAATGTGTTGAAGAAATGGAACTCTACTGTGGCATGTGTGGTGAATCCATTGGTGACAGAAACCACCAGCTCCAGGCATTGCCCTGCTCCCATGTCTTCCATTTAAAGTAAGGGGCAAAAGGGATGAACGCAAACCATGGTGGAATAAGAAAAAACAAAATCCTAAAGACAAAAAAGGGGAGGTAATTCCTCCAGAATGAATGAAACAAGGACATTCTATATTGGCATTCATGATTTTTAAAATGCTTTCTACCACTCCATTGAAACAACTCCTTATCTCTAAAGTTTTTATCCTTGAGGCTGGGATACTTTTCTCAAAATTGATTTTTAATCTGCTACTTAGATTTCCTTCTCAAGAATACATTATTTTATCAACATCTTAGCTGGTTTCTTATATCCTTACAATCCAATTTTAATGAGTTCTGACTTAGGCATAATATCTGTGTACTTAGAAGTAAATTTTAGCGTGCTGAATCAGGGGAACAAGCTTGAGAGTCACAAAACTCATGACCCATGGAGCCAAACACAGTTATCAGCTGTGGCTTAACAACTTGCCAGCAGCCCTGTTTACACTGCCTATCCTAAAATAGAAAAACCAGGTATATATTAAGCATGCAGCAGAATGTTCTAACTTGGTTAGAAGCTGAATTTAATTAGACATCACGAGTTGTCCAGTCCTGTGCTACGCAATGTGATTGAATGTGTATTGCGATTATTCCCTTTTTTCCTGGTGCTTTCTCATTCAGTCATCTCTGCATTAGAAAGCTGAGAGCTAGGGGGAAAAAAAACCAAGTTAGAATTGCAAAGATGTTAACAAATGTGGTTTTCATTTAAAATATGCATTTGATGTAATATTCAGTCAAAACTAATACTATTACATATACAAAACATGTATGTACCATGCTAAAATATTTATCAAATTTATATAACTGCCTCACAAGAAGTGGCATCCTACAATAAAGATATAAAACTATAAGGCATGTTAAAATATCATTATTAGAAAGTATTGCACACATGAGATTAGTTTAATCTCAAAAACTCACTGGATCCATGAAATGCACATACACGCACACTCTTTGGAGGTCTTCTAGTCTAACTCCTTGCTCAAACAGGAAAGCCTATACCATTGGGAAAGAGCTGTGGTGGCATAGTGGTTAGAATGCAATATTGCAGGTTAATTCTGCTGATTGCCAACAGTTTGATTGTCACCAGCTCAAAGTTGACTCAACCTTCCATCCTTCCAAGGTCAGTAAAATGAGGACTCAGATTGTTGGGGGTAATTCACTGTCTCTGTAAACCACATAGAGAGGGCTGTAAAGTACTGTGAAGTAGTATATAAGTCTTATTGCTATTGCAAACAAATGGTTGTCCAGTCTCTTCTTAAAAACCTCCCATGTTGGAGCACCCACAACTTCTGGAGGCAAGTTGTTCCACTGATTAATTGTTCTAATGTCTTTAATTCCAGGTTGCTTCTCTCCTTGATTAGTTTCCATCCATTGGTTCTTGTCCTGCCTTCAGGTGCTTTGGAGAATAGGTTGATCCCCTCTTTTTTGTGGCAGCCCCTTAGATATTACTATTGTGGCACCCTTAGTTCTTCTTTTCATTAAACTAGGTATACCCAATTCCTGCTGCTGTTCTTCATATGTTTTAGCCTTTAGTCCCCTAATCATCTTTGTTGCTCTTCTTTGCATTCTTTCTAGAGTCTCAATATCTTTTTTATATTGTGGTGACCAAAACTGGATGCAATATTTCAAATGTGGTCTTACCAAGGCATTATAAAGTGGTATTAACAGCATAACATACCATGCAGGGCTGCTGTTATGATAAAATAGGGGAGATTTGCCATGTACACTACCATCAATTCTTAAGAAAAGGCGACATCTCAATGTAATACTATTATTATTGCAACATCCTTTCTATACTTGCATGCACTCAACTGATAGAATAACCTCATTCCTCCTTGCAACCAAAACACACATACTCATTTTCACTGGCACACGCTTTGTAGAAAATGAAGTTAGCCTGCTACCCACTATTCAACTTGCTACATACATGATGCAAATAAGGCAAAAAAATATAGAAATGCCCCAAATAGAACACAAATATTTCATTTGCCCACCTCCACCCCATAAGCTTCATGAACAAAGCAAGGCAATTAATGTCTTGTCTGGTAACAGTGATGTAACAGAAGTCAATTAGAGCTAGGTTCTCATTAAGAAACAGATTTTAAAACACCAGTGGAAAGAACAATTAATTTGAATGGAAATAAATGTTTTCAAGCCTTGAATAATTCAATCCCATTATTAATGAGTGAATTGATATTTTATTATTGCTGTTAATGAAAATGGTAATTAGGCAGACAAGGAAGAATACTGAAGTTCAGTACATAGCTGCACCTAGGGCACCTATTATAGCACTACTAGAACAAGGGAAGGTCTTGAGTTGTGATCAGCTGACTTTGTGCCCTTTAATTGAATTTACAGTGAGGGTTCCTAGTTTTCATCTGGTTATTATTTGTAAGAGGTGGGGGAGGGAGAACTATAGCTTTATTTGTTCATGCTTTGGTAGCTTCTCACCTACATTGCTGTTATAGTCACATGTTAGATGTCCACAAGTCCTCTTTCTGTCCCTTCATCTTAATCCAGAACAGCGCCATTCAGGTTGTTCTGCACCTTCCAGACTATTCTCATATCTCATTATAACTCAGGGGTCTTTGCTGGTTCCCCATTTGAGCCAGAGCCCAATTTAACCACTGGTCTTTCTGTTTGGAATTCTTGGGTGACAAGCCTGCCAGTATTAGTCTTTCATTACTTCTCTTGACAGTCCTGCTTGCTCCAGATGTTTTTCTGAACAAGGTCTCCCTCCAGAGTTATGGTGTCCAGATTCCAATTTTCAGGGGCCTAGCCTTGTGCACTTTCAGATCAGCTCCCTCCTCCTCTTCATGAACGTTTAATGGCTTTTAGAGGTTTTAAAAACTTTTTTTATTTGAGTAGTTAGTTACAGTAGCATAGAGCCTGGTCATCTCACCCTATCTCCTTAGCTTTTGAGATTCTTATTGTAAGTTAATACTTGTTTTAATTTAATTATAGATTTATATATACCCAACACTATTGAAGGGTACTGTTTGAAATATGTATGGTGGGCAGTTTTCATTGATAATCTTTATTTAATGGTTTGACTTTAAAGTTATAGACTAATTTCATTGGATGGACTTTTTAAATTACAATAGGTTTTAATTTGTACTGTGCACAATAAATATTGTTAAGAATTGATAACTTGTGTTACCCCTCCCCCCAACTGAAATAAATATGTAGAATCATAAACGCAAAATATAAATAGATTCGGAATCAACCTCTGGATTGAAAGAATTGCTTCAAACGAAATGCCTAAAATTAATGGCAAGAAATAATCTGTTGAGATTTAACTCTGCTGCATCATGAGAAATGATGCACGTTGGCAGATCAAATAGGTGAAGCATAATGTTTAATAAGTATGCATGAGATCTAGAAAAGTGTTGATGTATTTATCCTGTTTTCTGTTCAAACAGAGCACTCATTCTGAAGAGAGAAACTTGGACAGGCTTTTGTAAACGAAGAGCTGTCATGGCCTACATTACAAGGAAAATAGCAAATGAACTCATGGATAAGTGTTTTTGGCAGCCAATGTCTTACAGTGAGGTTAACTTTAGAGTGCACTAAGTAGCATGGCAAATATTCCAAAACAAAAATACTTCTGTGAACATGTTGCACTGGCCATGACAAAGAGTGAATGAGCATTTATTGTTGCAAAGTTGTTTAGACTTCTTCAATAAAGAAAACAGGATCTGCAATACTTCTGGAAAATAGCAAAATGAAACAAGTAACTGCTATCTTTAAAATAAAAGTTAGATGCTCTAAGAACAATGTTCACTGCTTAACATGTTAATCATTGCCTATTGAGAAAAATGAAGGAAAGAAGATTAGAACCATGTAAAAGATCTAGTTCAGGGATAAGGAATCTTCAGCTCATAATAATAATAATAATAATAATAATAATAACAACCCCCAGTGAGGCACTACCTTGACGTGGTTGTGGGGCTTGTGTACTCTGAGGAAGATGAGAGCTATGCTAGAGGTTCAACCATACTGGACAGGTCTCATCAGAGGAGTCAGACAAAGAGTGTCTCTCCCATAAAAAATATGGTGAGACGTAAATTTCAGAATGCCATACCGGCTCGGACGTCGCCCGGGTTAACAAGGTCCTCACTAGATATTGGAGTTCCTGGATATCTGGTGAAAAATGGGTTACAGGACTCAGGACTGTTGGCTGAGCAACCAGGGCCAGCAGCTGCAGAACTACTGGAAGAAAAGGTGTTTACCCGTCGCAGATACACAGTGATGGAAAACAAAAAAATAATGATCTGTTACTACAGATCAAGTCCAACAAGAAGAGGATATCTAAAACGAATGCACCAGTTCTGGAAAGAACAACATCCAGAATCAGAAATAACAGAACAGAGACTAGCAGATCAACGCCGATTTATAACACGAAATAAAGTATTCACAGAAACAGAATTGGACGAACTGCAAAGGTTTACCCAGGGCAAAGAAATCAAAGCCTTACCAGAAGTAATTCAGAATGTAGAGGCAAACCAGGGGGAGTTGGCAGTGAAGGAATCCAGCAGAGATATACAACTGTTCTCATTTGGAAACCAGGCACCTCTTCCTCAGGAAGAACAAAACCCTCTAACTAAAGAAATAAAAGAATTGAAACAAAGAATAACTGAGCATCTAGAACAGCACAAAAACAACAGAATAAGGCTACCTGCATTGAAGCTTGTTCCAAAGAAACAGCTAGCACAAGCATTAAAAGATGCAAATACTGCAATATCAAGTATAAGCACCAATTCACTGCAAGAAACAAACCAACTAATGTACAGCACAGCTGCAGTTATAACAGAATACCTGGGATGCAAAATCAACAAAAAAGAAAAACAAACAAACAGTGCACCAGAAAAATGGAAGGTTAGACTAGAAAATAAGATCAGCAAGTTAAGATCACATGCAAGCAAGCTAGAACAGATGAAAGAAAAGAAGCTGAAGAACAAGAAGACCAAAGAATACCTAAT